TCTAGTTAAAAATGTTATTAATTACTGTCATTTTTCATAATTATTATTTCTAGAGATAATTTTACACTTAATATGTCCTTAACTCGATTGAAACTTTAGGAATTCTTTCACATTTATAATTATTGTTCGTAATTCATTTCAATCCAATATTTAAAACGTCCAGTAAGAAACTGTTAGATATTAAAACACCTGAAGTTCGATAAAAAGGTAAGATATAATCTGTATTTGCAAAAAAAAAAACATCAAGAAAAACTGAATTTATAAGATTATAAAATAAAAAAATTGAGTTGATTTTTGTTGTAAAAAAACGACTTGCACATGCACTAAACATAAAAATAACAAAACAAGTGGTACGGTCATTTAAAGTTAAAGGTAAGAACAGCAGATTCTGAGAGTTTCAGATTTTTATCTGGCAGTCAACACGTTCATTACATAATCTGAATAATGCCATTTTTGAAAATTTCAAAACTTCAAGCAAAGTTTTTTTTTACAAAGAGTGGGCTGCTCAAGTTGACTTGTGGCTGTATTTTACCTATGATATATACACTTCATTCCTGAGGAACATAAGCTGCTAAGTCTAAGCAGTTAAGACGCTAGAGTCGATTGAAATTCACGAAAAATTATTAAAAAACACTCATTTTTAGGACGCTGCCGTTAATCAGAGGTATTGACTGAGCAAATTATCGATGCTTACACTTAAACTACTATCTTTCCCCCTCAGAATTCCGCTTTAATATTGTAGTTATCTTCAAAAAGAAAAATTTGAGAGGAAAAGTCGATAAGGCTTAAAAATATCGATTTTTTAAAGTCTTTATTTAAATAGGCGGAAACGAGTGCTTATAAAAATCAAACTCATGTAAATTTTCTTCTTTGACACCCTAAGGAATAATTCCTCGAAGTTACACCAAAATCTAAGATGGGTCAGCTTTGCCAATTAGACTATTTTAAAAGGAATGATTAAAAATATTAAATATTTAATGAAAAAAAAATGCTAACTCGCCTATTTAAATATTAAAATTTAATTTATTTTACTCATATTCCCCGTTCTATGTTACGCACATGCCTGAATGTTGGTCTGGTTTCTCGGAAAATGGCCACCGCGATACGTTAGGCATGCGCCTTTGATGTTTTACAATTTCAAACTCAATTTTGTCGGCGTTATCCGAATATCTATTAAAATTGAAAATTGAATACCTGTCCCATAGATAAAATAAGTATTAATTGATCTATAACCTGTCCCGAACAATGTTCTAACCAACAATATTTTAGAAATTGGGCTAAGCTAGGGATAAAGTTTTTATCGAAAATATAGTAGTACAATTCTCACTGCAATTTGTCTTAAAATCACTAAAGTTTCGTCCAGAACAAGAATTTAACAACAAAAGCTGTGTTGTTCTGAAACTCGTAAAATCGTTAGTTGAAATTGTAGTTTTTTTAAACCCTATCTGGCTACTGATATGCTAAAAGAAGTATGAAGCCTAGAAATGTTCTTTTTACGTTAATTCAAAGTACTTACCTAGACGAATTTTGATAAAAACATGTTTTTATTCAAACAAATTAAAATTAATATACCTAGGGTACCTATATCTATCTATCGTCGTTGATACTGCAAGACGTGCTGTGTCAAAAAAATCAAATACAGCTGCTTTATTTGAAAATATGCAATGGAGTGGCTTCATCCATTGCAATAAATATGTAATATGATTACCTATGTAAGTATTTTATACCAAATATGTGTTTGTAATATCTACCAATATGATCTAGGCCTAGGTATGTATGAATTCTTATGTAGTATAGTCTGCTGTAAAACCAGTTTTTCGTGACATAGTATTGCAGTATCAACGACGATATTAGATTACAAAAAAGAGCAAGAAAATTTCCTATATGAAAGAAAAGTAGTTTTACTACACAACAAAAAACTTTTTATGGCGTAGGTAGGTACCTACCTAACTTTAGCCAAAGCGTCATTCTCCAGAGATTTACGAAATTTGCTAAATGTCAAGAGATTTTCGCTTTTTAAATATGATATATTAAAGCATCTTACCTATAATAACTGATTCTTCATTTTTCTAACACAAAAAACGTAAATCACAATGTAATCTCTTAAAAAAATGTTCTTGCACTTTACAAGTTTACAAACCAAACATCAGCATCCATTTTATAGTCATGCAAGAAGCAAGTAATTTTCTCATTGGACGTATTAAACAAATGAAAAACCATAGCTTGCTTAATTATACTATTTGTTCTGTCTGGTTTAAGCATCTGCAGGTACGTCATCAGGGGTAGTTTTTTCGAAAAATAAAGGTAGTTTTTCGACAAAATATATGGTCCAATTTTGGTTTCATTTTGAGATACAGGGTGTTGATAGTTATTTAAATACTTGTTTTAATGAAATTTTCAGTTTGTTGACAACTTTAAGACGTATCTCTCGCACAATTTATACAAAGTGATTAAAAAGCATCTGCAAATACGTCATTAGCAGTACTTTTTTTATCGAAAACTAAAGGTAGGTAGTTTCTCGATAAAATGTGGTCCAATTTTGGTTTCTCTATGAGATACAGGGTGTTAACAGTTTTTTTTCAATACTTTTTTTAATATATAAAAAATACTGATCGTTTTTAATAAAACTTTACGTTTCTTTCGGACATGATTTTACACTTTATACAGTGTGTTTAAAAATCTTTGCAACATCTGAGTTTTTTATTAACATCTCAGAAAAAATATTGGCAGCTAAAATCGAATAATAACTTGAAATAAAATGATTCATATGTACGAGGGGTTGAATCAACATAGCAGATTGTGCAACAATTTCGCAAAGGGAAACTTCATCTATGTCCTTATAAATCAAACGAGTAGGAAAATTATTTTGTTCACATATCTTTATCGGTTGTAAGCAAGTAGGGTTAGGTTTGGCCCAGAACATTACGGCCTCTTGGGTCTATTTCATTTCCCTGCTTTCCCCGTATTCAGGTACTATCTTTGGAATAGTCCTGTGTATTTAGTTAGTTTTAATAGGTTCCATACCAAGTGTTCCTGGGGAGTTCTTTTCGGTTCCCGTTCTTTGCATTCGAAGATCACATAGTATGAGGTTTCTTCCTCTTCCATGCAGAGTCTTCACGTAGTGGGATCATTGTGTAATCCCATCACATGAAGGTGTTTCAGCAAGCAGTGACCCGTTAGTAACCCCACAATGGTGAATATCTTAGGCCTTGCATGAGCTTACTGATTCTGTGCCCTCTTATCTGTTGCCAGTGAATTTGGTGTTTTGTAGTTATCCACCTGTTCACTGCCTGTCGAGCAGAGGTTTTGTTTATCCCAAATACAGGTTCGGGTCCTGTGAATGGTAGATCTGATCCCTCTTTGGCGAGTTCATCGGCCTTTTCATTTCTTTGGACACCTTGTGCCCTGGTACCCACAACAAGGTAAAACTAGCGTATATTTATCTTTCTATCTCCTTATTTATCTCGTTCCAGTTAACCTGGAAGAGTCTGTTGAAAGTTAGGAGCAGGGGTGTCATGTTATCTGATCCCATGTTTAATATAGAATCATTTACTTTTCTGGTATGTTTTATACGTCACTCATTCTGGCCTCCCCCTTTATGACTAGGTCAAGGGGTGGGAGGTTTAGAATAATTTCCATAGAGAATGTCGGTGTACTTCTCAGTGCTCCTGTAATACAAAGGCATGCCAGCCTCTGAATTCCTGATAGGGTATTGAGGGCTGTTTTCTGGTTTACTTTTGACCACCAAATAACCGTTCCACAAGTTATCATAGGTCTTTTTATTGCTAAATATAGCCAGTAGACCATTTTTGGTTTTAATCCCCATGTTTTCCAAATGCCTGTCTCCCTACAATGAGAGACATTTTACATTTGTTGGTCACTTTTTGTAAGTGTTAGTTCCAAGTTAGTTTGCTATCTAGGATTAGACCCAGATATTTTACTTGGTTTGTTTTGTTTAGCCTTCCTCCAACCTTGTTTTCCGAGTAAAGGTTATGAGTTATACCTTGTCAGGGTTTACCAAGAGGTTTTCCCTAACGCACTTCATTTCTGTCAGCCTAAGAGCTCTTTGCATGAGTTCGAAGACTGTGGTTTGGTGTTTTTCTCGGATAAGATGACTATGTCATCAGCATATCCTTGGGCGTACAGCCCGATTGTTCAGTGTTTTAAGCAGTTCATCTGCCTCTAGGGTCCACAGTAGAGAAGAAATGACTCCAACATGTAGGCATGTTTTTACGACCACAATTTTAGAGCTTACAGAGTAAATAGGTATAGTCTGAATTTAATTTATTTTTAAACAGCGAGTAGTTCTGCTAGGCGGCATAAGCAAGTACATGCCTTCACGTGAACGTATACAGTTTATATCGTCATGATTTTACCAACATATTTTATTGAAAAACAAAGATAGATTTGTTTAATAGTCCAATTTTGTTTCCTTTTTGATATACAGTAGGTTGGAATGAAAAAGGCCCCAATTTTTTTTGTAGAAAATGTAATTACAGGGCCGTATTTAGAACCAACTATCACAGTTATCTTTTGAATACCCTGCATAATTTTTTTAAATATCCTGCCGAGATGCATGGATGTTTTAACTAGTTTTTTGTATTCACGTTGTTTGGAAATTTATTTCTTAATTTTTTCTGAAAATATAAAAAAGGAAGGGAAAATATAAAGCCAAAATTAATTACCACTTAATTTATTAACGATTAATTTGCAAAGTCCACATATATACAAACTAAGATATCTAAAGAAAAAAAAAGGAAGTTCTTCATTCCAAGGATATGTCACTTGATCCTCACACTAACAAAATATATACACAGAATATTAAAAAAATATTTATTCTCAACAAGTAACAATAGGTTGTTATCAAACAAAATTACATTTTGCCCAAAAAAAAGGAAACAGGATGCGTTTGAATAAATTTGGGCTCCAATTCTCAACAAATATAAATAAAAATGAGGATTTGCAGTAAAAGTCGCATTTTATTTGCCTGAATCCCAGATATTGTACAAGCGCTTGGGAAAAGAAAATATTACAAATTTCATCATATATCTAACTTAGTAAAGAAACGTCGTTTTATTTAAAAAATTAAACAAAATCAAATCAAACTCTTTCAAATTTAATGTTTTCCTTTTCCACTCACTTCCAGGATCCAATACTTTACTATTTACAATTTAAATACAAAATTGTACAAGCGCTTGGGAAAAGAAAATATTACAAATTTCATCATATATAACTTAGTAGAGAAACGTCGTTTTATTTAAAAAATGAAACAAAGTTAAATCAAACTCTTTTAAATTTAATGTTTTCCTTTTCCACTCACTTCCAGGGTCCAATACTTTACTATTTACAAAATAAAATACAAATTTTTACTAATACCAATCACATGATAGAACACAGTCCCGTCAATTCTGTACCCTTTCTAACCGGAGGCAACTTCGTCAATCTGACGCTCTTAAGAGTCGTCTTAAGAGCCGCAGGTTCCGGTTCTTCCCCGGGCGGAAAAGGTTCAAAAGGATCGATATACGTTTCCGAAGGTACGTCCGTACCTTGTATCAATTCTTTTTCTTTATTTATCACAGTTAGTTGTTTACTAATGTTTATTTTAATTTTGTTGCCACTGATTCCCGTCGCGGCACCTGTAGGAGCGCCGCTGGCCGCGATGTCGACGTTCCCGTCTATCGATGCTACCAGATCACGTACCGAGTTCGTAGAGTTGTGCTCTTCGACGTCCACGATGTTCACAGGTTGCTCGTCTGGAATCAAAGGCGTAGTGGTGAGGTCCTCGAGATCTAAAAAAAATATTAATCTTATAGGATTGTTTATAACAAGAGACCTTTCAATATCAAAACGCTATTAAAACGGCCACGGTCACTTGAATTCCAAACTTTTGAGAAAATTACTTGTAGGTATTATTGGTAATACCTACACAATAGTGTAGGTATTACCAATAATATAAATAGGTTTTTAATTTCTATAGAATTTGTTTTGTTTCTAAAAGAGCTAAAATGTATTCTGTTAATAGTTTAACAACATACAGTCATCATGTCACATTTATCTCTTAAAGAAATTGGAAATCATCGCGGAAAAGTGAAAAATTTACTAGCAGTGCAAGAAAGTTAGTGGAAAATTTTAATGTAAAGTAAAATTGAATTAAAAAACCTTTTCGAAGGATCTAATGTAGGTGAAAAATGGAAAATTTCCAAAAAAGAGAAGAACTTGTGATTGACCAAATGGTTTGATTGGTTTTGCAAAACTAGAAAAAAAAACGTTCCAATATCCGGACCATTAATATAGGAAAAAGCTTTAGAGGTATCAGAAAATTATAAATTAGGGACTTTAATGCATCAAATGGTTGGTTAGATAGGTTTTGCAAAAGGCACAACATCAATTTTAAACAATTTGTGAGTCCGCTGGTTAACTAAATTAAAATAAATTAAGGATTATGATGCTAAAAACATTTTTAAAGTAGATGAAACATGACTTTACTACCTGGCGAAACAAAACTTTTGCCTTAAAGAATGATAAATGTGCTGGAAGAAAATCAGGAAACTAAGCAACAAAAATGACAATTCTTCTTTGAAATGACATGATTGGTGAGAAGGAAAACCCATTAGTTATAGGAAAATCTGCAATGTTTTAAGGGAACACATAAAGATTGCTTGAAGAATGAGTGTCCAATAAAAATGACAATGACAATGGTTTCCTGAGTGAAAAATGATAAAGCAGAGTAGAAAAGTATTTTTATTTTTGGATAATACAACTTCTCATACGAAAATACAGCAGAATATGTTCAAATTGTTTTTCTGTCTCCAAACACTACATCTCACTGCCAACCATAGAGGGTAATTCAAAATTTTAAAGTGAATATAGAAATAATTTGATGTAATTTTGTTCACTCTGTAACTTCAAAACAAAATATTTTTAGAATAATCCAAGGAATAACCCCTTACATTTTTGCCTCATGTTTATCAAACACCCTGTATTCTAATTTCAAAGATTGATGCTGTACTTAGACATATTTTTTTGAAGTTTTGTAAGTTTATTTTGCGAATATTTAACACTTAAGACAACCCTGTCGATAATGAAAAAGTTTTGACAAGTATAAAAGTAATTTTAAAAAACCGACTTCAAAATCATGCAGATGCATCTCAAGCAAATTTATATGGGATCACCCCCGAGGTACGCCCTTACTAACAAAAAAGGAATCATAGAAATTAGGCAAGGTGGTAAAGAATTATCGCCAAACATACATAAAAATGAAGAGTTTGAGGATTTTTTTTCATGGACTCAATTATTAGATTTTGACCAAATTTATATGGGACCACCCCTGAGGTATCCCCTTACTAACAAAAAAAAAGAATCATGGAAATTGGACAAGGTCGTAAAGAATTATCGCCAAACATACATACAAAATGAAGAGTTTGAGGATTTTCTCATGGACTCAATTATTAGATTTTGACCAAATTTATATGGGACCACCCCTGACGTATCCCCTTACTAACAAAAAAAGAATCATTGAAATCGGACACCGTGTTAAAGAATTATCGCTGAACATACAAAAAACAATATTACGATGAATTGAGAACCTCTTTCTTTTTTGTCGGTTAAAAAATGATTATAAATAAAAAAAAAAGCACTAATTTGATGAAAAGTACCTATTGATCTAGGTTATGTACTTCTCTTTTGTAAAAAAAGAAGAACTATTTAATGAATGAATGAGTTTTACCATTTCAAATGGTTTTAAGAAAATGTTTGTCTCATTGATATAGTTAAAAAATATTTGAAGTGTGAAAAATTATTGGTCCTCAATTGGAAGAAGTAACAATTCAGTTGAACTAAAAAGGCACATTCAGGTAGAACTGTCACAAATAATTTTATACAACAAAAACGTTACAAATATTGCAATTGTATAAGAAAAAAATGTAACAGAAATATAAACAAATATTTACCTTTATCCACTGGTTCAGCTTTGATTTTGACGTGCTTTCCATTGGGCAGGCTAACAAGTCCAGCAATTTCCACAAAACCGTCATCTTCAGCTTGGCTGAGGGCTGCTGTAGAATCCGTCCCAGGTTCATCATCGTCATCGTCGACGACAATTTTTATAGGCGCAATCTGAAATAATAAAAATAATAATGTTTGTACATATTTGATGTTCTATATAATCATTAACCAGAGTAAGGCTCAATTGTTACTAAAATTTTAAAAATCCTTTATCTTTTAAACAATTCACTACGTCATGAGTTGAGAAATTGGCATAGGCGACAAATATTTTCTGAAAAAAAGATAAATTCAGCCACACTGTTTTTCAAGAATAATAAAATAAAGAATCTTGAAAACTTTGGATCCGAGTAAAGCTCGTTATTTCAACTTTCTATAAGAATTAACAGGCAAAACAAAACAGACTTCAAATCTGGAATTAAAAGAACCTGCAAAAAATAGGTACATCATTACCGAACCAACGGAGTTTTTTTAAGTACTGACAAACTATCTATTATTAGTTGAAAATGTTGAATAAACTGAAAAAATGTATTAGTTTAAATTGCCGAAACAAATGCTAGAGAAATCGGGGAGATAAGCAAAGAAAATTTGAAAAAAAAAAAAAATCTGCTTGTGGTTGTGCTTGCAACCTCTGGATCTCCATTCAAAAGTCTTAACTCCTAGACCACCAGAGCTTGTTATCTGGCGTCTTAGTAGAGTATTTAGATTCGATCCCAACTCAGTTTATCAGAATCTTTTTCAATTCTTCAACCCTTCAAATGGCAGTTTATTATAAAATCTTAGACCTTAATTATTTTTTTTTTTTAGTTTTAATTATTCTATATAAGGGCAGTAACAGAAGTTTCTTGTACTATATCTATTATGCGATTCAAAGATTTCAAATTTAAGCCTACTAAAGAAGTATAAATACTGCAAAAATCAATCTCCTAAATTGACCTCTACAATATTCATTGTATTTTAAGCTTATTACAATGGGTAACAGTTTTTTATTTGTACGAAATAAGTATTGAAAATTTCTATATTCTCACCTCGTTCAAAATTACATCATCATCGTCTCCTTCGTCTTCAGTTTGCTGCGGAGGTTCTGGCTCTTCAGGCTCTTGAACCGAATCTGATGGTTTAGATTCGTCGCTTTCCAAACACAAAATTTCGGTTGATTTCGACGGTTCCGATATCTCGTCTTCTTCATCATCATCATCGATAATAATTTCGAGACCAGGTATAGTTTCTTCCTCTCTTGGTTTGTCTTCAATGGGTTTTATACTTTCATCTAAGGTCTGTTCTAACAGCGATTGCTGATAATCCTCATAACATAATGGATGATAAGTATTATCATCTACTCTAATGGCATTCTTTAGATGCCATTCTTCCTTTTCTTCATTGAAGAATTGATCGAAGGTATCATGACACACTTTGCAAGATTCTTGGGTTGTATCTGGGTCAGCAGCCACGCTGGGTATTTCCACTTCTTCTTCCGCTTCTTCTCCAGCACCGTCGGCCTGTTGTTGCTGATCAAAGTAATTTTTCTCTGCAAAAAAAATATTTATAATGTTTTAAGAAGTTACTTTCTATTTTTTATTAAAGACTTACCTCTTTCTTCAAGATCTTCTAATTCTTCGTAATTCTTCCAATCTGCCAAAGAATAATACCATCTCCTACTAGTCGCCACTCTGCTATTCCTCTTTCCTTTACGATTTTGTCTAAAATGCCAATCCAAATGCTGGCTGTACTGCATACTGGCTTCAGGCGAAAATCGCATTCCGCAACTACTACATTGCATTCCAGAATACAAAATTGAATATAAATTGCCCTGTCGGACTCTTAGCGTTTCAGGTTTGTTGAAATTGATTGGCTTCAAATTCATACAAGGATTCCTTTTCGCTTTTACTAGTGGTGCCGGTGGTAGTTGACTAGAAATTCGAGGTTGATTTCGTTCTGGTATAGCAACGCTAGCAGGCGCAGACGTGTCCTCCTTTACTACTACCGGTGGTAATACAGGTGATACAACAGGTGTTACTACCGGTGGCACCGGCTTCTTCTCCGCTGCTACTGACGTAACGAAACCGGATGCTACTAATTTTTGGAAGAGATCGTTTATGTTTATAGCTGCAGCCGGTTGAGGCGCTGAAGTTTGAGCTACCGGAATACCTTGCGAGTCCGGATCGTTTTCGCATTTGTATTCTCCTGTCGCTTGAAGAGGACCCGATACTGGGGTCATTGCGTTGGAGAGTGCGTCGAGATTATCTAAAACATCGCAATAGACGGAGATTTAATAAAATGAATCACAAAAAGAATGTAAATATTACTAGTCTAAGAGCTGACTATAAAAAATCGAAGGGAGTTGAAAAACAAAAGATAGTTTGTTAATTGCTAAACACCAGATCAACCATGGTTTGTTCCGGTTTTACGCAAACGTTAAAATAACAAGGTTCCGTCACATCTTATTCAACACTAGCTACTTATCTTGGGATTCAATTGAAAATTTGCAAATCACCTGCCTCACATCAGTCTGAGACTCAGTCGGGTACTTGTTATTTTATCTATGGTCGGGACCGTGACTTTAAAGCCTTGTTTAGAGTAGGAGCGGCAAACGTCGCGATGCGATACCGTTACATCGAGCGACGAGTCGTCGGTAAAAAAAACCTAGCATTACTAAAGGCAAACGTTCAGAGAGCGACCAGCGATGCAATGCTATCGCATCACGACGCCTGCCGCTCCTACTCTGAACAAGGCTTAATAGAAATGTTGGTAGTTTGCAGGACTCTAAAATTATTAATAAAAATGTTTTCCATATGCCAACTATCTGAGTAAAATATTCTTCATAAAAAGTTCTTCATGACCTTAAACACAAAACTCAAGTCATATTCGAGGTTTGTCAAAAATAAATCACTTTATTCTTGAACAAAATTTATTTTAACTTACCTTACCTTAACTTACCTCGTACGCGAATTAAAAAAATAGTATCTGATGGTTGCATTTTAGGTTTTGGACCATGCAGAACTTTTTATGAAGAATAACTTTTTTCTTAAAATTAATATTAACAAAATTTTCCTTATCATATGGTGCATACTTAATTGGACTATATAACAAGCCTTAATTAGATTTTTAATGTATAAAATGTTTATAACATGAGTAGACACAATCCTTAGTCAGCAAATTCATTTAAGTAATTTTGTCCATCTGGCTTGTATTGTTCGAAAAATTTTTCCGATGGGTGTACCTCTCCCGAAATACCCAGAGCCGGCGGAAGGGTGCCTATCGATCAAAATTAAGATATAATATAAAATTATTTATTAAAAAAAGGTCCTCGGCGTGTTCAGCATTGGATCAACAAAGGAGCTAAAAAAATCATGTCGCGTTGGGTCAGAAGAGATATAGTCACCCTAAATAACATGGGCGTCAGTCAAGGTGCTTGTCCGATCTAAATATGTTCCTTGCCCGGCCCTGGAAATACCGAAATATGCGAAATCTCGGAAATCATCACCACCAACAAAAATTAAGTGAAGAGCAAAACAAGATATTTGAAATAATCCTCAGGAAAATTTATATTTTTTCCAAACAAAACTGGTACAGTAATTATCATGATCATTCATTGGAAGTATATAAATGGTATAAAATTAATGGGGATTTCGGCGAAATCACTTAAAACCAATCAGTAATTTCGCAGAAATGAGTAAAAATCGCCGAAAATTTGTTGGCCCTTCAATTAATACAGCCACGTCATCTTAGAAGAAAAGTAAAATATCTTGATTATACAATACTTACTTTGTTGCTGCAGTATGAGTTTCTGATAGAAATTAGGCGAATTTGTATTTCTATCTGGCACCTCGGAAGAATCGACTGGTTTGTTGTCCAGCAAACCCGTTATGGGCATGCCGGGATCATAGGCGTCCGATGGATTCATTCCATCCTGGCTGTTCTCATCCGCCCTGGGACTGGTGCTGCCCTCACCTTCCATATCGACAATCTGTACTCTGCCAGGCTTAATGCCCTTAGGTAATACTGAAAATCTTATAAAATGCTTTTTACCATGGATAATAAAAGGTTTAGGGAGACCACCATATTCAACATTATTAAAAGGAACATCATTTATTAAAACAGTTTTTAATGCATCTACAAATTTGAGCGTACTCGTCTCGTTATCGAGAACAAATTTTTGTACTTTAGCGTCCAAAAACACTGGTACAACGACCATCGCGTTAATGAATAAATTAATTTTGCCCGCAACTAGATCAGTTCGTTTAATTTTGCCGATGTTCACTTGGGGAATGGGACCCTCCAGTTGGACCTTGGTAGGAACGCCGTCCAAATCGATACGAATGCCGGGGCTGCCGAACAGACACTCGTAGGGCACGTTGTCGATGAAGATCTCCCTGCTGGGCGCTCCCAAACGGACCAGATGCGGTTTACCGTCGATCATGAATTCCTTGTAGTTCTCGTTGAATCCCAAAACGTAGGTTTCTTTATCGTTAAAGGTGATTTTCCGCGTACCCTCGTGGAAAGTTAGTTCTCTTGGATCGTCCCAATCGATGAAAGCAATCGCGGTTTCTCCATAGAATCTGATGTCCCTAGATATACCGTCGATAGCTATGGCTTTAATCTCGTCCACATTTACAAAACCGCTAGTCAGTGTTGGTTCTTCATCAGGTATGTGTATCTCTTCGAAATTGTTATGTGGTGGAAACGGTGGAAGGTTGTTTTTCCAAGCATTCCAAGGTCTAACGGGCATACGTACTGGTGCGTTATCCCATCTTCTGTTTCCACGACCTCCTCGCCAATTATTAGGACCTGGAAATCTCCTCATCTCCCTGCCGTCTCGAGGATAGAAATTCGGGTGCATAAAATCGCTTTGAGGTGGCGGCAAAGGTCCTGGTATCAGTCTTTCATCTTTATCGTTAAATGGCATTAAACTTTCTTCATTGACTGGTAATGGTGCTACAGTAACATTTTCTTTAGGTTTAATGTCTTTAGCAGCATCATTGTGTTCGACATTCTCTCCATCACTGTCTATAAACTCTTCATCGCTGATTGGTTGTAAAGATATATTGAAAGTTTCCTCATGATCTTTTCTTTTCGCTTCTTTCAGCTTATTTTTTTCCATTTGCAAGATGATCTTTGCAAGGAGTTTTTTGCTTTCTTCATTTGTCATATTGCCGGATTTAATATTGCTCTCGTCCTCTGGGGAAATTATAATTTTTTGCGTCGTTTCGGGAGTTATTTGAATTGGCTGCCTTAAGTCTTGGTCTACTAGTTTTAATTTTTTCTTGTTGACTGAAAAATTTAAATATAATTAGTCAACCATATTGTAAATATACAGAAATTATTCATTTGGTATTTATGTTCATTTTATGTACTTACATGATTTGGCCAAGACTTTGTCCCTATTAGTAGCATTTGCAAGCTTCGCTCTTATGGCATCCAAGTTGCTTTTCGGGGACTCAGTTTTTGAGGGTATGACTTCACTGGAGGATATAATTGGTGGTGGAGGAGTTTTGGGACGTTGTTCAGAACTAATACTAAATTGCCTTAAATCCGTATCTTCATCTCCAAATAACCTAAAAGATTAAAATCAAGTTTACATTTACAATTTTGTTTAAAAATTTTCATATGAAAATTATTGTTGTTTTATTACACTTACTTGTCAAGTATTTCCGATTTGCTCTTTTTAACACTGGTCTGGTCTGGTGAATCAGTTGAAAGCCTCTTTTTCCCTATAAATGCTGGTAATTGCCTAAGATCGACATCCATGTCTTTGGAAACTGTGACTGAAGTTGACTGAGGTTGAGATACTTGTACTGTGGTAGTGGCTGTAAAGATTTTGTTAATAAATACATAGTTGGTGTAGAGGGTTTCAAAGTATGAAGGGAACTAGTACTTACTGTTAATGCCCGATTCCCATACTAAATGGATTTTTTTACAAATATTTGGATTATATATTAGTTTGTGATTTATTCATCTGTACAAGTTACTTAGTTATATGTTTGAAATTAGCTTGGCACACATTTAAAAAACTTGTTTCGGATTTTGAGTAAAAACAAGACGATTATAACAATTGATTGAGTTTAAAATTATTGTATTTTCTATTATTTTTATTATTATTGGCAGTAAATTAAAATCACAATTTAAAAACAAATAATTTGAAACATTAGTTATTAAAAAAAAAATTATTGATTTTATAATATGGAATACCCTGTATTTTGGTTATTTCTATTTTCATAACAAAGGGTGTAACTGTTTTAGAAAAAAGCACTTTGCATTTAGGTCTATACGACAGAATACTTTACTCTCGGCCCTATAGAACGAATTAGCCATGAAAGTGTTAAAGTTAATTGAAACAAAAATATTTATTATTTACATCCAGACTTATTTTAATATCTCAATCAGGGCCGCCGAGAGCCAGGCCGGACCCCAGGACAATTCTCTAGATCGGACCCCGTGACAAAAAAAGCTCTTCAAACTTTTCCTCCTCCACTTGGAATTGAATTTTAAAAAAAAAACAGCTCCCCAACCTAAAACAAACTTCCCCCTCTCGTCTTGTCGTCGAATTTCTCATACAAAACAAAAAAAATCCTATTGCCGCCCCCGCATTTGAGTCCGGGCCCCGGGAATTGGTCCCGGCTACCCCCCCCCCCCTTAGTCGACCCTGATCTCAATTAGAATATTTTGGCCCCTTTTTGTCTAGTACCCCATATTAAAATGTTGTCCCCTACTTACTTCTGTAGTCTAAAATAATGAAGCTCATATCTACAATTAAAAATTTACCCTAATTTCAATCTAATTCTACATTAGTCTAAATAATTTTTATTTTGCTTCATTCGTTTTTGACGATATAAAATGTAAGGGAATCAACTAAAAATAGATTTATTTTCTATCAAGAAGACAATGAAGAAATTTTGAGCATTTGATAACGTAAATATATAATTAAATTAGTAAACCAGTATCAGATTGTTGTTTAGTTTATTTTAAATTTATTTAAGTCAAAAACTAAATAAAATTTAAAATCATTTCAATCGAATAGAGAATTAAAACCCATTCAAATGAGTTATCAGTCCACCCGTTGCCATTTAAAAGTTTTAAGGAGGTGGCTACCCTGCACAAGAGATTAAAATTAGTGTAAATTTGAGGGAAGCCAAACTGATGGTTCCTACTTTATTTGGGAAAAAGTATAAGTATTAAGAAGTAAATTTCTCAGGTTCGTGAAACATTGGAGTTCCTTAAAATGAAGTGAAGACGATATAAATACTATTTTGCGATACTTAAAGTCAATAATTTTATATATAAGATTTACGGAATGAAAATATTTTTATATAATTTAAAATGAAACAAAAATGGCATTTATTCTCACCAAAACTGACTAGCTCGAGTTTGGCAAATGACGCAACAGTGTAATGCAAAGGTGCAAACACTCTTAATATCACCATATCTCCTCTTTATTTTAACTCAATCCTTAGACCAGGCCTGCATAACGGAAATTTTAAAAGGACCAGTTCAAAAAAACCGTACGAGGGCCAAGAAAGGATGTAATTTTTTTGGAGCGGGGGGGAGGGGTGTATGCGAAAGATTTTCGCAAGGGCAACGCTCAAATACGTTGATCTTGAGACTCAAAAAAATTCATTTATAGTTTTTTAAATAAAATAAACATTATTTATTAAGTTTTATTTTAAGTATATCAAAGTTTTTTGTTTTACCATATACAGGGTGTTTCATAATATATGCGCAGGACTTCAGGACGTGATAGCTCGTCCAAAAATATGAAAAAACGTTTCTATTAACTTACCCTCTAAAATGCACCATTTTCGAGATACGTGTTAAAATTGAAAAAAAAATTCTACGCCACTGGAAAAAGTATAGTTTTGGGACGCCCATTTGAACCGCCAATGTTTTCTACACAAAAAAGGTACTCTTGATCATACGCTCTAAAGTCGACCGTTTTCGAGAAAATTTTAATGTTGTTTTGTAATTTAAAACCTACTTGAAACAAAATTTGATTTTTCTCGAAAACGGTCGACTTTAGAGCGTATGACCAAGAGTACCTTTTTTGTGTAGAAAACATTGGCGGTTCAAATGGGCGTCTCAAAACCGTACTTTTTCCAGTGGCGTAGAAATTTTTTTTTTAATTTTAACACCCTGGGGAAGTTCTTAGTTGAGGACCTTAAAAATTCAAGTAAGCAGGTGAAATTTACCTTTTTAGAGAAATTCAAGTAGAGGAGAAACAAATTTGCTTGAAGACCTTTTTTTGTTTAGAAAAATTCAAGTAGATCATTTGTTATTTCATTTTTTATAAAATTGACGCAGGGCCCGATCGGCGAATTGTCCTGGGGCCCGGTCTTGCTCTCGGCGACCCTGTATATATGGGCCCTTTACCCCTTAAGTAAAAATATTTGGGTGATCTAACTTTGAAGACTGCAGATGTAAAAATATTTATATTCTTTACCTCTTAAGCTTACCTTTTACACCTTGGACATGTAATATTTTATTCTTTTACCCCTTACCCAGACAACACACGAAATCCCAGAGATATCCACAGAATATCTTTTGTGGATATCCAATATATCCACAGGATATCAGAAATATTCCGTGGATCTAATATGGATATCCAAATGTCCGTCTATATCCAAAATATAGAAGATATCCTATGGATATTCAGCAAAATATCTAATGAGTATCTTCCAGACAATACAAGAAATCCCAGAATATATTTTGTGGATATCCAATATGGATATAGAATTCAGATATTCAGCAAAATATTTTATAGGTATCTTTAGTAGAGGTTCATAAGTATCCAATGATTATTGAATAACGTCGAAAGAAAATAGAGATAAAAAATATTTCCAACAATCTGCCTTTGATTTTGCCCACTATAAGGGCACAGTTTATGGCTAAAGAATCAGTTCGCTCACTCTGCGTCGGCACTTTTGATCTCAATGTTCCAGTTTATACACTGCGCAACTCGGATTTGTATCCCTGGCGCATACAGCATCAAGTCATAACCAATGACAACCTCCTAGATTCAAACGGCAGTCTTCTGCGCATCCTGAATTTGTATCCCTGGAGTGGACATTATTTTGGAAAATTCAACTGGTCCAAGTGAGTTAACTGATTTTTTAACAATAAACTGTGATAAGGGCAGTAAGGAAAAAGTCATCCTTATTAAAACTCTTCAACAATAAATGGAAATTCTCGACTCCAGTCTCTAATGGAGTCTGATTATCAAAAAAAATTCGATCGAACTCATTTACGGCGGGTTGAGCATGAGTAGATACGAAAGTGGTATCGCCATCTATACTTAGGAAGCAAAATCAAAAATTACATCTAGTAGATATCCACGATGGTTTGCGTCCGCGCTTAGACTTTGATATATTTACAGTGGATGTCCATGGGATATTGAATACACCTTAAAAAAATTAATTTTAAATATCTGAACGGTACTATCAGCCACAATGGCGTAATTTTTTAATAATTTGCTATATAATTACTATTATTTATGGACATTTGCATGTCTATAAATTACATTTCATGGATATAAAATAGATATCCACCATGGACTGGACATTCAGTGGATATTGGGATGTTCAGTAGTTGGACCATTTATACCTTAAAACTGCAAACTATTTTGGTCCCTTTAGCTTGACTGTATAAATATATCTGGGATCCCTGCTCCTTAAGCCTGCCTATATAAAAATAATTTGGACCCTTTACCTTTTTAATCCAAATTCAGATACGAGCCATTCTAGAGTTGATTAAGAATGATCAAAAATAAAGGTGGAGAAATGTGCTAAAAAGAGAGGGAAGAAAAATTGTTCATCATATAAAAATTAGTAGATAGGAGAGATAACACCTTACGTTTGAATTGCATGAAAAAAGTATACTTAAATAGCATTTTTTTAATTGGCGCTTTTAGCACTTTCGCTGCGCACTTTAAATTGATAAATACAAGTACTATGTTAATTTCATAACTAATATAACGCCGATCGGTGCCATAAGCACTGACCGTGTTAATAAACAGTAAAGAAAATAAAATTTTAAAGCCGTATAGCTTTGATATTTTATATTTTAATAACATTTGGGCTTGGAATTATTTTCCTTTTTATTATGTAATAAATGTGTGCCAACTAATTTATTAAAAAAAAATCGTAAATATTACCTAGGCTACAAAAAAAAAACAAAGTAACCCTTTATTGTAAAACGCTGATAGAAACCCAACAATTCCATCCATCACAGCATAACAAACAAAAAAATATAGAAAAACTCTTACTTGGCACATCGACAGGGTCGCCAGGCAGCAACCTGAGTTGCTTTTCTGGAGGCCCAAACGACCTCAGATCCTCGTCCTGTATAGTAGTGTCCGCACAATCCACGACATTTCTTCTCACATAGTTTCGATTTTTTAAAGACAGTTTAATACCCTTAAAACCTGTCGTCGGACTATCACTCTTACCCGATCGCTCGCGTTTTTGATCCCTTGGACTGGCTGGTGGCTTATTGTCACTTTTCTCCTTCTTTTTGTGTTTAACAGGCGATTGGGGTTTAGCAGTGTCACTTTTTATTCTGCGTGTTTCTAGATCGTTAGAACTAGATTTGAGAGGTGCAGACTCGGCGGAGGCTGAGCCACCTGATCGTTGAGAGGAAGGTCGCGAGGATTTATAGGATTTTTGATTAGATGATTCAAAACTATTGCGGGATTTGGAGGGATTGATGGGTTTATTGGTATCAGTTTTTTGGATAGGGGTATCATCTTTATTATTGATTAACCGAGGATCATTTCGAGCTTTTCGAACACCAATTTTATTTGTAACAATTTTATTATTTTCTAATAAAGCAGTTCTTTGCTGTAACTGATTTTCCTCATTACCGTCGGGTGCTTGTTGCTGCTGGAGCTGCTTCTGTTGTTGCTGCCTCATTAGTCTCGGGTCTCGGACGGGTCTCGCGTTGATTAGGGCGCTGCTGACGGGGTTTATTTTCGTACCGTTCGAAGGGCCGAATTGTTGCGTTTTTTGTTGTAGCGCCAAGGATGCGTTCTAAAACGAAAAAAATCTGATTTTAATATCTTCTATAGATACCAAATATTGCTATAAAAATCAAATAAAATTCAATATTAATGTTTTCAATGCTGTCTAATTTATTTTAAAATATGATAACAATAAAATAATACTTACAATTCCAACTGGTTTATGTGTCAATGAAGGAACCAATTGCTTAGCTACTTCTGGTTTCAACAAAATATTCTAAAAATAAAATCATTATTTGAATTAAAAAATCCTTATTTTTACAGAAAGGAATATATTTATTTTAATAGGTAAATCTATTTATATTAAAGGACTTCTAACTGATTCTAACTCATCAAAGTTTATCTTTCTATAAAATTATTTATTAGAAGCAATTTATATAGAAGTTACAAAAATATGAACAATTTGAATAAAGATGATTTTAAAATTATTCCAAATTTCATATAACCCAAATTTAATTTAAAAATTCCATATTTTTTAAATAAAGTTTAAAATGCCCATTTACTACCGCCAGGTGCATTAATTTGAAAATATTTAATTTATTCATTGTACCAATAAGTGACTGGTAGGTCTGTTATTGACCCTGTTGTAGAGTGATAAAAATAATTATAATTTCATTGTAAAATTAATTTTTTGCCATCACATACAATTCAAAAACATCCTGTATAGCGAAAATCAGATTGGTTTCAATGCTATAAAAATGTCTTCTTCTTACCTGTGATCTACTGGTAATTGGTATGGTTTGTTTGATCTGCTCCTGCAATTTCACTTGCGTCTGCAACACTTCCAATTCCAACTTCTTTTGCTGCAATTCCAACAGTTCCTTTTGCTTTTGAATCAACTGTTCCTGCATAAGTAGGGTCTCTTTATCAACGGGTCCAGGAATAATTGTAGGTTTGGCCTCTGACTTAGGTTTTAAATTTGGAGAAGTCTGCAACCAAATAAATATGAATACATTTTGAGTAAAGATATTATCTGCAGCATAGAGATTGATCAAAGGCTTGAATATCAACTTACAGTATTTTTCAAAAATTTCGGATTGAAATGGATGCTGTTAGGAGGCGGTTTAGCTGTTACAGGCCAAGCTGGATCTAGTAAACTGATCTGAACATCGATGGCGTATAGTTTCATTTGAGGGAATACTTCATTCCAGGTCTGTCTCAATTTGTACATTTCAGCTCGCGTCTTCTCGTCAACCTTGAATTTATATTTTTTGTCACCACAAGCATAATAAATTTTAGATTTAGTATGCTGAGTAGAGATGGAAAAAAAAATAATAAAAGTGAAAAAAAAATCAGTAAAATTTGGAAAAAAGTTACATTGATATTCAAAATTAGTATAAAAAAATCTAATGTAGATTTTTGAATTATTTATTTCACTATACTCAATGTATCTTTGCAGAATGAAGTGGAAATTTAATAACAAAAGTGCTGAATTATATCTAGAACTAAAAGAGAGAAAAATGGGAACCAGTCATTTTAAATACCCATACAGCTATTCTAAATTTCTTACGTTTCAAATTTAACTTAAATAACATCTAATTTTATTTAAATTCTAATCAAAATAAATTCCAATTTCATTCCAGTAGGTAAAAATTTAGTTACATTGACTTCAAAAATAATATTAAAAAATAGTAGATATAAAACTAATGGTAATTATTGAATACATTTTAATTTTTTTTTTTTTTTTTTGCCATACTCAATGTATCTTTAGAAAATAAAAATGCAATGCAAAAACACAAATAATGTATTGGTTACTGCTTCTCAAATATGTATTTTAGTATTTGGAGTAAATTTAACAATAGGTCTGATTAAGAGAGAAGAAGTATTAAGTAAAGGTGGGAGGGGAAGTTTAGTTAATCCTGATAAATAATACAAAAGCCAATATATTCATTATTTGTTTTTACTGGTAAATGAAAATTAAAAAAATGAATTTGTATTCAAAAAAATGCATGTGCAACCAAAATAATACTTACCACTTTAAATACACCACAAAAGGTAGATACTATATTCTGGCTAAAGAGTGATGTGTACGTTCCTCCAACATTCTTAACAATGCAGTCAATCAGGTACAAAAGGGGTAATTTGACGTCAGTTTGAACCTGTATAAAAAATATACTCACGTTTAGCCAGCTGCTCTTTTATTAAAACACCATAATTTTATTAGCAGCTACACATTGATACTATATAGGATTTACCGTAGTCCAATCCAGAAGAATGCACATTAATTCCAGCACATTTGCACTTTATCTTATTGGTTGCACAATAGAAATATGATTGCCGCCACTTGCCGTAAAGGATAATGTAGATTTAATACCATTTTTTACCACAAATATTATTTGAACCATTATTTAGAAATCAGTATTACCTGTTTTTATATACAGGGTGTTTCATAATATATACGCAGGACTTCAGGACGTGATAGCTCATCCAAAAATATGAAAAAAACTTTTCTATTAACTTACCCTCTAAAATACATTTTCTAGAAATTGAAAAAAAAAATTCTACACCACTGGAAAAAGTACGGTTTTGAGACGCCCGTTTGAACCGCCAATGTTTTCTACACAAAAAAGGTACTCTTGGTCATTCGCTCTCAAGTCGACCGTTTTCGAGAAAAATCATATTTTGTTTTATTTCCAAAAATTGACCATGCATTTCAACATTAAAATTTGATTTTTCTCGAAAACGGTCGACTTTAGAGCGTATGACCAAGAGTACCTTTTTTTTGTAGAAAACATTGGCGGTTCAAATGGGCGTCTCAAAACCGTACTTTTTCCAGTGGCCTAGACATTTTTTTTCAATTTAAACACCCTGTATCTCGAAAATGGTGCATTTTAGAGGTTAAGTTAATAGAAACGCATATATTATGAAACACCCTGTATAGCTACAATGTATTTTTCTTTTACTTTAAATACAGTTTGATGAAGTATAAACGAAAATATTTAGATTTTCAAAATTAATGTTGAGGGCGTCCATTAATTACGCGAGTGTTCAAGGGGGGGAGGGGATAAGCTAAATCTTTCCAAATCTCATTTGGGGGAGAGGGGGGCTCTGTAAATCTGACGTAATTTTTTCTAGTAGAAAATGGTGTAAAATTACATGAAAGTAAAGTTAAATTAAAGTAAAGAATGTTTCTAGAATAAAATATGGCAAAATATTATAAGCAAATGATTTCATTGAAAATCACTTGGATATGTTGGTTCCAATAATCACTCTTGATGCCCTGCACGAGTCCCTATTGACTGAATTAGAATAAATCTATTAATTTTCGTTTAAGTATTTATTATTTATTTTTATCATTGTGATTTTAAATTACAGCAATATTCACAAATCCTAGTCTTTGCTAGTTTTAAATAAAAATAATAGAACATATTGCCTTTATTTTTTTTTTAATAATCCAACACATTTACACCCAAAACACAAATTTTGAAAAATATCACGTGAGATTAGGGGAAGGAGAGGGAGTTGAGGAAAATCTTACGAAATCTCACCAGGTGGGTAGGGGGGGGTCAAAAAATTCTCAAAAATACATCACATAATTAATGCCCCTTGCCATTACACACTGTCTGCTTCAGATATACATTCCAATATTTTTTTAACAAAATATGAAATTATCTGAAAAATATTAGAAGCTAGAAGACTGTAAAATCTAAATTGATATCCATTGATTCAATATTCAAAATTAATTTGTTGCCAATACACATTGTCAGCTGCAGAAATACCTATATTCTAAAATCTGAAATATTCATATGCATATTCATTGATCCTACTATTACTATGAACAATTATTTAATTAACTTTGTTTTTATTACCTAGACGTGTGTTTAAATAAGTAGAACTGTCAGTAGTTCTATAAACAAAGATAAATCAAGTATTAAAAGTAATTTTAAAAAACAGACTTCAAAAATGTACAGAACCCATCACCACCTCTCGACCAAATTTATATGGGAGCACCCCTGAGGTATCCTCTTACTAATATAAAAAAAAGAATCATAGAAATCAGACAAGGTGATAATCATCGCTTAACATACCTAAAAAATGAAGAGTTTGTGAATCTTCTAATTATTAGATTTTGACTAAATTTATATGGGACCATCCCTGTCTAACAAACAAAGGACAATTGAATATGTTAAAGAATTATCACTGAAAAAACATAAAAAAATTAAATTTCAGTGCGCAAAATGTAAATGCAAAATATTTCAAAATCCAAATGAATTTTGATGTCTATAAATGCATCCAAACACAGCTTCAGAAATACATTCTAACCTTGTCCTAATATAAAAAACAATTCAACACTGATAATACAGCAATATTCTAAATAACATTAGAAACTGTAAAAACTAAATGTATATCCCTTGATCATATGTTATTCTGTTATTTCCAACAAATGTTACATATCCAAAGACAATAAAATGAAATTTCAATGAACTGTTTTGTAAATCACTATTTATTAACTATGGCAGCAAATAATTGTTCTTGAATAATAGAAATAATAAAAGTTGATTGGAATTTTCTTAAGAAAATTACATTGTTTAATTTTCACACACCTTAGTCCTACATTTAGGACATTTTAAGAAATTTTGAATGTATTCTCCAATATTTTCAGATGGTACAAATGGCATTATCACTACATTATCTTCCCCAGCAAGTAAACGACCAATATTTACTATTAGAAATTAAGTGTTTGCTTCATTGCAAAATTTATTAAAATGTCCTGATTCCAAAAATATAAAGTATGCCACAAATTTGTAAAAACCAAAAATATTTTGTAGTGTTACATAGCACTATTGTTATGAAGTGATAGATAACATGATTAGGTGTAATCATGAAGACACTATAATATGATATTAAAGTACTAATAAGCTTGTGAAATTTCACCAAAGCTTAAGAGAGCCAAATTCAATGTTGCTATAGAATTCTAATAATTTTCATACATGTAAACAATAGCTTATTGTAGCCATTAATTTAATCTTGATGTAAGATTAAATAACCATACCTATAACCCTTCATAATTCCTGAACACTAAAAGATTATCCTGGAAAAAATCTTAGCTAAAATGTAATATTATTTCAAGGCAAATTTAGTTACTTCCTATCTGATTAAATACATATTCTGTTACCAAAAAATCTTCTGTATATACCTAGATGTGCAATGCTATTTAGGTCAAAAAGTAGAATACCAAAGTATCATTCTAGAATATTTGGATTGATATTGTAATGCAAAATAAGATTATTTACTTTGAAATTTTTTATTAAAATATATCACAAAATGTTTGGCATTTAAACAATGTATGACCCATAATGTAAAACATACATTATGGGCCCCACATAAACTTTTGTAGTAACAATGAAAAATAATAACCTTTGACAGTTGTTCTTCAATAGCTTCAACGATAACTTTAGCGTTGGGTGAATTTTCGTCGGCCAACATTGTAAGCACATTAATCAGGGGTTTGCTATTGAAAGTCAGATCTCCCAAACTCGATGCATATTCGGCCTTTATTTCCTCGGGAGAATTCATTTTGAAGTACTTTTAGGTTCCTAATTACTAACTATCACAGATAAAAATCCAAAAGGATTTATGTATATCCTAAAATAGAAAAAATAGAACGTTAATAACATTCTGATAACGGTCGCGTATGTTGCAATGAGATAACATCACAATTTTCGATAATAAATAGATTTAAACTCTTACCTTAACACTAAGGACACATGTATCTTATCAGTAATTCTTCGTTTGGGAAATTTATCATGTTATTCCATAGTTCACAACTATATAACAAGGTTTTTGTAAAAATCACTTTTTACGACTTCCACACGTACAAAATGGCGAACTGCCAGCCTTATCGAATGTCGATTGTTTTGGAATTCCAAATGCGTCACGATGAAAACACAAAGCGCATGCGTTTTATGTTCGTTTGTATAACACTACTCACCGAACTTACAACAAAACCAAAACACTAGTCTTTTATATTACTTCCACACCTCACTATAAACAAGATAGCCTGATAAACTACAAGAACAAACTAGAACTGTTTGAGTGTCAGATCAACTACCAACACCAACTTCTGAGCATGAGGGTTATTCAACACGAATAGGGGAAGGGTTGGAGTGGGGTGTAATTGTAGATCGGCAGCAACTGGGAGGTGGGAGAGGGAGACATTTGAACAGTGTTGCCGTTTGGGTGGAAATTTCCCCATTGGGTGGAAATTAGGACTCTGGTGGGAATTTTGGGTGGATACAATATTTTTGGGAATTTGCTCTCATAGAGGCTCCCGTAATGTTTTTAAAGCGAGGATTTCCTCTTTTTAATAGATATTTATTTTTTACATTAGGATATTGATATGTTAGTCAAGACCTGACACGCATGAACTTATGTCATGGTTTATGTTTTGAAATATGACATGTTTTATGTTTAAACATGTTTTTGAGGTGTTGTTATTTGATAGTAATTGATGATTGGAGTCGTTTTATTAAGTAATTTTTAATGATGTATAAGTGGCTTGTAAAGGTTACAAAACCAGAGCACTTGATTTATAGTAAGGACAAGAGAAAATCTCAAAGCAAAGATAAGCGACCGTTTTCCTTCTGAAAACAACAACTTCTTTTACTAATACCGCAACAGGCATTGCATTATATCAAAAGGAAAAGAGCATACCTGGCTACGCCTACCGGCATAGACTCCAACGGCCTGGACACAGCTCAAATTGAAAAGAAAAGTCTCACATAACATAAAATTTGTATGGGTGTCTAAATCAATGAGCTTTTGTTGCGCAATTGTAGGCCACAAAACCTAACAGATTTCAGCACCCAGGTGTCGTCATATAGGAGGATGTGTAAATATGCAATTAGGCATTCCAACGACCTGTCAAACAATATGTGCCAGTGGGAAATTCTTGTATATTTAAGGGGGTAGCGACATAGTCTTGCAACTTGGACGCTATTTTTATTCGAAGTAGTACTCGCCAAGCCTGCCAATTTATGAAGAAATGTATAGGTGGGTTTTTTAAATATAATTTTTATTGTGTTTGATATAAAATATTTAAATGTAATCCATTATTCATGATTTTACGTAAAGTAGATAGAATACACCATATGTCGCCACCCTTAGATATACCAAACCTGCCCACTGGTAATTCATTTGTTTGGAATGCCTAATAGGCATTAGGTAATTAAAATTAGCACCAATTCCACCGTTGGGTTAAACGAAGTTTAAAATAAAATATTATTAATGTAAAAAATGTCATTTTAATCTTCGTTTAGTAATGTAAACTTTGTTTAACACAATGGTGGAATACGTTCTTAAGTAAGCTTAACTTAACGTAACTTAACATATAAGAAATTATGATTTTTCAATGTTTAATTCAACTTATTATGCAAGAAAATCATGAAAATAAACCCTTCTGAATCTCTTCGAGTAATTTTAACAGTTGGAATTACACAAATTCTATTTAGAAATTATATTTTATTTATATCATATGTACATTTTTTGTAGTTGGTAATTGATTTGTCGTAGAAGGGCACTATTGTAAGGTTACTGGGGTTAGTTTTGTTTCTATTAAAAGTTGATGGCATACCAAACAGTTTATAAAGTACATTCTGTCGCTACCTTTTTTTTAATATTCTTGTACAAAAACAATAAATACGATAAAAGAAATAACATTTATATGAAAGCCCTTTAAAACTTCTAACAATAGTTGTATAAAAAATTTGATCTACTTTTAACATATGTTTATTTTTGATTGAAAATTTAACGTTAGCGTTAACTCAATTTACAATTTATGTTAAAATCGTTAAAAACAAACGTATTGAATTAGAGAATTATCACTAGGCTAATTTAGGTATTTTAATATTTGTATAATGTTTGTATATACTTAACACCGAAGTCACATAATTCATATGTTTCATTGGCGCCGACCAGTGACTACAATAATGAACACCTATTTATTTATCTTTGTCAACCTATTTATTATATTATTATAATCCCTATTCCCTTAATCCTTAAAGTCGACATTTATTGAATCATTTAAAAGTTATTTATCTTAAATTTATGGATTAATGATGGTATTTAATTTCAAAACAACCCTTTTTAAATTACATTAGGCAGGTAGAAAGTGAATGTTAATTGAAGCATAATTAGATAAAAGTCTAATGGGACGTGACAGCGTTTCCTGTTCGTGGATTTTATGTTGATTACATTTAATTCTTTGTAAATTGCTACCTGAAAAACGTGTTGCTAAATTAAATGTTTCTCATCTGTGCGTCTGTCTGAGCAAAATACGCAACTTTATATTTATACAGGGTGTTTAGACAGTTTAGTAGGTTTTCACAGATATGTAGTAATGTAAGTTGGCACAATATTTGAACAGAAGCTGAACCGTTGAAACATTTTCATAGTCAGTTACAAAAAGTTTTTGATAAGGCATTTCCTCCTAGGAAAATAAGAAATAAAAAGAAAAAAGTTGGGTTACTAAAGGCTTAAGAATATCATCCAGAAATTTATGTTCTTTGGTATACTTATAATACCAATAATTTTATTATTATTTATTACTATAATAAGTATAGAACAATATATAGAAAAACTATTAAGATAGCTAACCAATTATATTTTGAAAAGCGAATAAATAATGCTCACAACAAGCAAAAGGAGGCTTGGTCTATTGTTAATGATTTGAGGGGTAAGTCAACGGCTCCTATTAATATTGAAATATCTCCAGAAAAATTGAATGGGTATTATTGCTCTATTGGTCCCAATTTATCAAGTAATATGAGACCAACCTGTAATGTCACACAATTTTTAGACAATATTTCAGTTCCAAATACATTTTACTTTGCTCCAACGGATATTTCTGAAATTAAAGAAGTTTTGTCTAAGGTTAAAAATAAAAACACTGCGGGATGGGATGAAATGTCAATTAAAGTATTTATAAATCTCCCTGAGGAAGTCATGCGAATTATATCTGAAGCTATTAATATTTCATTTCAAACTGGAGTATTTAGCACCTGTCTAAAATTGGCAACTGTTTTGCCTATTTATAAAGGAGGTGAGCAAAATGACCCCTCCAATTTCCGACCTATTTCATTATTACCAACATTATCTAAAATTATGGAAAAATTAGTAAAAAAAGCGTATGTTAGAATTCCTTGAGGCACACAATCTTATATCTGCTGTACAATTTGGGTTTCAATCTTCCAAAAACACTACAGATGCCATATTTAATTTGCTTAAGCGAGTGCTCTTAAATCTTATAATGCCAATAATGTTTCGGCGGCGGTATTCTGTGATTTATCTAAGGCGTTTGATTGTGTCAATCATGAAATTTTATTAAAAATGTTGGAAATATATGGGTTTAGAGATGTAGCATTGAAATGGATAGAGTCATATCTAACTGGCAGATATCAGAGAGTATTAGTGAAAAAACAAGCTTCCAGCAAAACACATATTAAATGTGGTGTTCCCCAAGGGTCCGTCAAAGTTCATTTTGCTATAAAATTTTTTTTTAAAAATTCATAGTTCTTTTTGATTTTAGGCAAGCAAAGCAAGTTTCTTTACGTCAAAAAAAATACGGGGGGGTTAAAATGCACCCAACCCCTCAACTTTTTTTAAAGGGGTCGCTTTAATTTTTTTTCTCCTTGGAATATTGGGCCTTCAAATCTACAGCACTGGCAAAAATTTCGAAGAAAAAATCGCAACAGAACTTTTTACAAAAAAAAAAAAACGTTTTTCTAAATGTTAGTTCAACACCCTGTAACATTGTTGGGAGCCAGTTTTTGATATAGGTAAATATAGCCAAATCCACTTATTTTTTGGTAATCTATCTGAGGATGAATTTATGACATACCTTTTTAAAACACCCTGTATAATATAATTATTCTAACTACATTTATTTTTTCTAGAAAATTTTCTCGTATGCGGTGTCGGTTGTATTTCGTTCTTTACTCTCTATTTCTATTATGCAATATTCTGTGTCATTTCCATTTCGCCTACAATTTTCTTTATAACGAAATTGCGGGGGCGCCTAAAAATGAAAATACACCCCTGTGTACCTCACTAATTAAAATCTATATAATAGGCCAACATAAAATGAAAAAGAAGAAGAGTTAAAGTTATTGACATTGACACTGACAGATCCCATAACAAATAGCAAAAATTCTGGCAGTAAAAATTAAAATTAACATATCAAAGATGTACAATATTAGGCAACTTGCGAATTTAATATTATCTTGATTTAAAATAATACGTATGTTATTGTCAAATATTTATGTTAATAATTTAAAGCACTATTTTTACATAAATTGACCACACATTCACACCTTTGTGACGTAATTTTTGTTGAGAAATTAAACATTGAACTAATAAACATATTTCTTATGAAGAAATAAAGCAATAATTCACGCAACAGGAAGCTTCATAATTAAATAATGTATAACGAATGAAAGTTTTTTTTGGGCAAATGTATTCGACATAGATTTTATCACATTAACGACTTTGAAAAGATGGATGATTACAAGTTTTTATTTAAAGTTGTCTTAGTTGGAAATGCAGGTGTTGGAAAAACGTGTCTTGTACGTCGATTTACCCAAGGATTGTTTCCCCCAGGACAGGGTGCTACTATAGGTGTTGATTTTATGATCAAAACTGTTGAAGTAGGAAATGAAAAAGTTAAGGTGAGTCCCCTCATAACATACTAATCATTTTCTACAATTTAATATTCTTTAGTTACAAATTTGGGACACTGCAGGTCAAGAAAGATTTCGTTCTATAACACAAAGCTACTACAGGTCAGCTCATGCCCTTATTTTAGTTTATGATATTTCTTCTCAGCCAACTTTTGATTGTTTACCAGATTGGTTGAGAGAAATTGAGGAATACGCTAGTAGCAAAGTATTGAGAATTCTAGTAGGTAAGTAAACATTAATTATTAACAAATTTGTAACTCTCTAGTATGAGGAATGAAAGTTGATATTGTTATGGGTACAAATAAAGGGATCTGATGAATATATTTGGAATATATTAAAATTGCGCTCTTTTGTACTGAATGAATAATATTGTTTTTATGATTTAAGATCTAATTTTTTATATCTGTATTCATTGCTGTAACTCAGGTTTAGAAGCAATAAATGTTATTATTATTATCATTGAAATGCAAAATTTGCTGATAGTTTTATTCATATTATTTGTTCATGAGGTATTCCTATTTTAAAAATATTTCTTTTTGATTAACAGGGAATAAGATTGATAGGGAAGATAGAGAAATTCCTGAAAATGTAGGAGAAGAATTTGCAGAAAGACATAATATGTATTATTTGGAAACATCTGCAAAAGAGTCAGACAATGTGGAAAAACTTTTTATGCAAATTGCAGAAGACCTTATGAAGGTAAAGAAAAAATTATATTAATTTTTTGAGTTGAAATAAATGCTCAGACTGTTTTTCCCTTTTTCAAAAAGTACTTGGGATTAATTTTATTCAAATGAAATTGTTGAACTGTTTTATTAAATTGATTGTTTTTTTTTAGCAAGCCAGAACTAGGGATCTTCCAAGATATGATTCCAATAATCAAACAATCGATGGTAGGACATCGACAATTAATGATTCTAGTTGTTGTAGCAGATTACAGTAGTTTATTCATATAAGCTTTTATAGCTCAATTGTATGTTTTCCAAACATTTGTTAAGTTTATTAGAATTTTTTAATCTTTTAAACAGTTGTACATCGTTATAACCAGTCAAATTGATAATACTAAATAATTTCTAAATATAAATCCCTATTATTAGTACATCAAAAGACAATAAGCTTAATTGAACAAATAATATTTTTCTTATGAATATAATCTTATTTTACATGACATTCATTTAAATCTACACTTAAAAACAAATTTTGTTTTAAGTTCCTTAAATGCCAAATTAAAAATAAATTCCTGTTATAAATTATTTGTTTTGTTGTGAAAAATAAGGTTGTTAATTAATTATTTTGCCTGGTCATAGCGATTTGTTAAATGCAACTATTTTTTTTTTATTTTTTATGACTGATTTTATTTTGTTTTTACACAATTATTTACTTTTTTCAGTTACTTTAAGCGTTCTTAAAATATTTTGAATCAAGGCACTAAAGCCAAACGTTACTTGTTATATTTATTTAAAAAAAATATGAATACAATCTGAATTTGTTAATCAATTTGACAATTTTTATTTATATTATGGCTAGTCTTACATTATTTGTAATCTGTTGAATACGTTTTATCTTTGACAGTTTGATGACGTATATCAAATTAGTCTTTTCAGTGACAATAAGTTTGTTCCAACACGCGTGAAAACCGTAATATTACTGTATAAATCGTGCGCTCTACCCAAAAATTGTATAAAACGTTTGATTTGCACGGGAAAATTACGGTTTTCGGGCGTGTTGGAACCGACCTATTGTCGTTTCGTTTTGCTATAAAATTAGTTGTCAGATATTGACAATGTTTGCCAAATTTTCGTATAAGTATAAATGAATTGCTTTCATAACATTTAATCCTGTGATATTTTTTGTAAAAGCACCAAAACTTTTGCATCACAGAAAAATTGCGTACTATTTAAAACCGATGACTACGAGAGCTTTTTTGTATTTAATTTAACATTCCTATTTTAATAAATTAATTATTTAATGTATATTTTTTTTATAATAATAATAATTGATAAATAAGATACTGGTGTTGTTCTAAGTGATAAAAAATAAGGTTAATAAGTGTTTTAAAAATGTTGGTTTTTGTGTAAAATTATTATTGTGATTGTATTTTTATTTTAAACAGAAAGGGCATCTCACAAATTGATCCTCTATAGAAAATTATGAATATTACATTTTACTATTGAGCTAAAGTTTTAGCTCTACAGAGTGTACCTAAAAACATTTATTTTAAAATTGTTGCTTCCTTATTGTATTTCTACAGGGTACTTCCTGAAAACTTGTTAATACAGAGCCAATTTTGTGGAGACACCAGCTTCGAATCGTACAGAAGACCATGTGAATTTATTTGCATGGTTCTCTATAGAATTTGATGGATGCCGTATTAGCAGAAATTAAATTTATGTTGATATGACATCAAGATTATAAAAATCGCCATTCGTTACCGTTTTCGATGATGGTGGGTGGGATTTTCCTCACCTGTAAGTCAAATGGCACCATCAATCATCTTTAAGTCGCTCTGTAGCGCCACAGCAAATAATAATAGTTGTCCTTTTCCCTACACAAGTCGTTCAGTTGGCTTTAGGGGTTGAAATTCACTAAAAAGGGGGTGAATTAGGGAGAGTATTATTATTATCATCATTCAAATGATTGAATAAATTTGAACATGAAAATTCTTTTGGTTGTCAACTATTTTCATGTAAGAAACGTTCAAAGAATATCTACTGGCAGAATACCATTCAACAAATGATCATAATAGACATGTTATTATTTTAATGAATTGGACTTAAAACATTTTCAGGAAACAACAAATGTTGTTTTACTTTTTTTGGTACAACCTGTAGAACTAAAGAGCATAGGGCAATAGTATAAATAAATTTCCTTCTGGCATCAGCTACATACTTATAAGTTTTGGATGAAATACCAATTATTGACATTTAATAAAGAGTATAATAATTCTTTTTTGGGAAAGTATTGAAAGTAATAATTATTAAGAACGCTACTCTTGTTAACTGAAATTAATTGTTAAGTTTTTATAATTTAAGAAAACAAAAGGTGCAATAATCGGGTTATTTTTATTCTTAAGTACAGTATTACTGTTAAAACATATTTTCCATCACTTTTTACAATATGTCATAATTTTTATTTCGTTAAAAAACTATTTGCATTTAAAATGTATTAATTAGTATTAATAATTGTATTATTATATTTATTATTTAATTTATTGAAAACGAGTAGACCTGAAGATTTTTTTAGTGTTATTTCTACAGTACGTTTTTGAAATGTGAAACCATTTCAAAAGTATTTTTGTTAAAGAGGCAAATAGGGGACATTATCAATGCTATTTGTTTCTCTCGAATCTAATAGATTTTTGAGAGGTACAAATATAAAATAACGTTCAGTAGTCCTTCTCCAAGAAATAATTGACATCAAACAACTACTAATGACTAACTCTTTCATTCATAAATAAGCACTTGTTTACTTGCAAGCGAGACGCTCACTAAAATGAGTTGGGGCGAAATTTGCGTACATTCGTTTTATGAAAGAACAAGCACTTATGATTACACGCTACACGATGCTTGTACATAGACTCTCCCCTAATAATTTGGTAACCATATTGGATAACAAGGTGAATGCTTGAAATTCGCCTTTTTTAAACAATATTGGTCTAGTAGTTGCCTTTTTCGATGGTAGGTTCCCATCACAATCTTGAAAAGAAGTACAAAAATATACTAAATTTCGCCAGAGAAAGTTCCATAACAGAATACCATTTTCTATAAAGAGAAATTGTTTCTAAACCGACGTGATAACTACACACGACTTTAAATTAAATCCAAATTGATACTTGAAAACAAAGAATGGAATGCCACGACATACGTGAATTTTTCCAAGGGCTACTTTAGAAACATTTTTTGTGAATCGCTTCATGCAGGAGAGACGGGAATAAACCTCGGTAACTGCTGTGCCGCTACGCTTGAGCCATGTCGATCCTGGAGACAGACCTAGCATAGTTGAAAAAAATGTAGTTTAGTCATCTCTTCTGTGACAATAATATTAGGATCGTGAAAATGTGGTATTTTATGGGACTCTTTCTTATGTCTAATAATTGTCTTGAATATTGTATTATTTGACTAATTTAATGAAGTTATGTAATATTAGAACATCGCAATAGTATCAACAAATGGTTTCATACTTTTAAAACGTTATTGTAATTGTTTCGAATTATTTGATCTATTTTGATCATCGTTTTCTTCTAAACCAAAATAGTTTCATCAGAACAATATCTTATTTCCTCTAGGATTAACTAATGAGATTACAGTCGAATTATTGTTTAGAGAAAATAAATTAAATTTATCAAATAATTTGAAATTAAATGTTTTTAGTACTGCTAGAGCTTTAAATTGATTAGCTAGACAATGTATTTGGCACTTAATTTGTTTTAATGCACTAATGTAATGGTATAGGTGGTTGTGTATTATTTTCCTTTTATATTGTTATACAAACCAAAGAAAACTTATAAAATACTAAAAATATAACATTTTAAAACAGCATTTTTTATATTTATTTCAGGAGTAGAAATAATAAGAATCAGAGCAAGATACTAATACAAAATTATTTAAAATACTTCTTTCTTGTGGAAAGTTAATTGAATTCCTGTATAAATCTTATGTGAATTCTATTGAATCGAAAAAAACGTCTTCTTTCCTTTTTCTTGCTGGCTTTTATTGCATAAAGTTTATACAGCAATATAAAGGTTTAAAATATCTAACGAATTTCGTAAACCAATGTGGTAACGTTGCAGTGTTGGTCTTCCTATACAGAGTGATCGATTTTATTTGCATTATGGATTTAGCTGTAAAATAACATTGGTGAAATATAATATAAAGACGTATTTAAAAAAAAAATAGATTTATTCAATTTAGGTCAACGATAACTACTATATACCAAAAATAACAAATAAATAAATAAAATATATAAATCAACAGTTAATTATTATACAATAATAACAATAACAATTGTAAATTTAGTCTATATTATTTTCAGGTGAAATTTATTCAGTCGCATTTCGAACCATTTTAAGTTAGACTATCTCTAGAATAAACAACTGGGATTGAACTTAAAAAATATAAAAATATCGAGACACTGGATAAATAGATAAATATAGAAAGATAAAATTTATAGAAACAGGAGTCTATACAAAAGAGCTCATGCTTTTCTCCTCCAATATATAATTACTCCTTGGCAATTATTTGATTCTTCTCGTGCTTTCCGATGAAGTCCGGGATACTGAGTAATTTATTAGTAAAATCAAACAATTTTTTTTGTAGTTCTTCTGAATTTGTGGATGAACTAGCTTTGAAAATTTTACAGTTGTGGATGTATGTACCCCCTTTGCCTTCTAGTTTTGGAGAGAGGCAAGCATATATGATAGGTATTGCCCCTTGTTCTGGGCTCTAAAAACAAAATTAATGTACATTTTGATATATATGTTTTATAAGACTAATATTTAGACTCAACATTCATGTTTGATTAAAAAACAAATAACTATCAAAAAAATTACAGTATATTTCCAAATCAAGTTTGGAATCGTTTTCAGAAATTACATATTTGAAATATATAAATGGTTTAGCATATAAAAGGGTGAATATATTATCTAAAATACAATAATCTGACCGGAACAAATGATTTAAATAATTGTTTTATTAGATTAAAATATTATCTTGCAGTTTAGGCAACATAATATAGTATATATTAATGTTATTTTTAACAAAACTGATTTAGAAATAGACTGATTTTATCAAAGCAAAGAACTGTAATAAAATTTGTGTAAAGGAAATATGATTTATATACATGATAACACTGATTAAAATCGTTAATTACCGATAATAAAATGAAAAGGAACCTCTTTTGTAATCGTTAAAATAATTGTAACTGCTGAGTTTGGATGTAGAATTCGTTTGCTATAAGAATAAGGTAGTCTCATCATCAATATATTTCATATTTACCTTAAATAATAATGCAGGTATCACAGGAACGAATTTTTTCAAATTTGTATCATTAAAAAGATCAGTATTGACTATTCCAGGGTGAACACAATGAGTCTGTATGGGCAATCCTTCATTTTTAAATAGAGAATCTAAGTATTTAGTAAAAAGTACTTGAGCCATTTTTGACTGAGCATAGGCTGCACCAGGTATGTAATTATGCCTAAAAAATTATGTAGAAATTAAAAATAATTACACATAAGCAGACTTTTCGTTTAAATAATTATATCAATCACCTATTATTGATATCTTCAAAATTTATATCCCCTACGATGTGAGCACATGATGAAACATTTACAATTCTGGATTTCTCTTCTTTTTTACCTCCAGCTTCCAACAGGGGTAGCAGTAGATGTGTTAGGAGAAAGTGCCCCAAATAATTTGTAGCAAATTGTGATTCATATCCATCACGAGTTTCAATGTAAGGACCAAACATAATACCAGCTACAAAAATGACGGTTAGATTTAGATGAGGATTATCAAGAAGATACTTTATAAACTTACCGTTGTTAATTAAATAATTTATTTCAGAGTATTTTTCTTTTACAATTCCAGCAAACTGTTTTACTGATTCCATAACACTGATATCTAAATTTAAAATATCTACAGATCCAGTTTTGATTCCCTCTTTTCTAAAATTTGCTACTAATAATTCTGCCTGTTGAATATTTCTACAACCTAAAATATGATAAGGAAAAAATTAAGATCAAACAAACATAAATAGGAAGACAGAACTAAAATAGAAAGAAATTGTAAAAATTAGAAAAATGTCAGAATGTAAGAAACAAGCCTGATTATAAACACAAAAAAATATAAGTTAAAATTATTTAAATAAAAATCTGATGTGTCCAACACATGACTTTCCTATCTAGTTATTATAGGCTTTTTTCGGTTATTTTGTACAACCTATTGCAGCACCTCTATAAATGTTTAGAGGATAAACTAAATATATACATTTTCCACATACATCTACCTCGAAACATTTTTCTATAGATATTCATTGAAAACGAAAATACAGAAAAATTTAAATTTAGCAATTTTCCTACAATTTTTCCATTACGGTCCATGTATAAACAAAAATTATAGGGATCGATATCGCAAACAACTTTTAGGTCAAAAATTTTCATAAAAAATCAGAATTTGCACATTTTGTCAAATTTCTCGAATACGGCCATTTCAGGAAATTTTGACATAAATCAAAAATTATAGATAATAATATTAGAAGTAACTTTTATTCGAACAATTTTTTTCTCTAAACATAAATAACAGATATATTCCATAAAATATAAAAACGGCCTCCCATAAAGTACCCCCCAGATGTTCCGACTTCGTCCAAAATCTAATCATTTCACGTCAGGCCGAAATAAAACTTAAGTTTAAAATTTAATGTTTTTTCTTTATCCGTTTTTGAGTTTTCTTCAAATTTCTAAATTTACACATTTTCTCAAACATCTCGAATACGGTCCATTTTAGAGAAATTATGTATAGGATAAAAAATATAGAGAATTATATTATAAACAACTTTTATTTAAACAATTTTTATAAAAAAAAATATTTTTTTACATTTTGTAAAATTTCTCGAATATGGATCATTTTAGGAAAATTTTGTATAGAACAAAAATTATAGACAATAATATAAGAAGTAACTTTTATTTGAAGAATTTTCTTCCCCTAACGTAAATAACAGATATATTCCATAAAATATAAAAATGACCACCTATAAAGTACCCCCCCAGATGTTCCGACTCTGCCCAAAATCTAATCAGTTCATTGGACGCTGGAACAAAGTTTAAAATTTGGTGTTTTTCTGTGTATCGGTTCATGAGTTATGGTGGACACAGACACACACACACACACAGACATCATCGCGAAAATAGTCAAAACGGATTCAGGGGACCTCAAAAGTAAAAATCCGTCGAAAACTCGAGGTCGACAAAATCATGATTCCTATACTTTCTGTATACAGATAGGAAAGTAAAAATATAAATTATTTAAATAAAAATTAAATTCATAGAGGAAACTTTCATGTGTAAATAATAATAATAATAATAATTTCTCTTACCAATTATAACTTTTACATCACATTTCATAAGCATTTTAATGACTTCAACTCCTATGCCTCTGGTCCCTCCTGTAATGAGTGCAGTGTTCCCTGACTTTAAAAGTAATTCTGAAAATAAAATTCTTAATAGAATAAACATTTTTTGCGAATTGCCAATATATTTCATTGTACATAATTGTGATTTGAGTAAATGGAGGCAAATTATAATAATAACTTGTAAATTCATGACAACATACTCATTTTTTTTGTTTATCTAAAAAAGAAACTATACACCTAGGGATATCTTTATTAAATTAGGAACCCTAAATATGCTTACATATAAAAATATTTAAATATAAATCTAAAAAACTATTAATAACATACATTTCAAGTGCTAAATATACATACAGTATAGGCTATCAAACACTTTTTAATTTGTTATAGTACTATTGATACTTTCAACAAAATATTTATTAAAACTTTGTGCTATTTCTAAGCCGTCTTTTAATATATTTTACGTAGATTATTTTAAAATATCTATGAATAAAGTATATTATTTACAAACTAATAGGTTTAAAAAATAAAAAGTATGTATAATTCTTTAAAACTTATTTTATTAAAAATTTTAAATACCCAATAGGTTTTATCTTTTCTCAATAATATCTGGTTAGTTACAACCTTCAACTATATGTATTAAATGGTTTTACAAAGCAATAAAAATCAACCCACCTGTTTTGTTTTTGCCTCTCATAAAGAAATCTTGAAGCATAGCTCTGGAACCGACATAGTTATAAAGTAACTCGTATCTAGCTTCAATTAACAAGGTTTTTAACGGTTTTTTGGACTTAACTATTGCTATAATTGTTACAACAATTACAATTGAGCACCCAATTAAAAAAATCATCTTGCGTTTTTCTTCGTTCTTCTTAGCAGTACGTACAATTTCTTCATTTGTGTCACTTCTTGTTATGAAATGAAACAACTTTCACCTTCCTAAGAATAAGAAACCCGTTAGAGTGTTGGATAAGTGAAATGCTCTCGTCCGTGTGTAGATGTAGATAGTAGATTTAATTGGTATTTTCATTTTGTGTGATAGTGGGAGAAAGGCACTCTTATCAAATCACCATCACTCAATTTTCGAGTCTAATCGGTATTTTGATTTTAAAATAGGCATAATAATATTCAATAAAATTATTGAATTCAAAATTTAAAGGGGCAAATGTCAAATAATTCGCGATTTGAAGGTTATTTTTATTTATTTACAAATAAAGCCGGAGGGAAGGGGGAATGCTAGTCCCTGCATATGGCAGACTAGTGTTTCCGGTTTCCAGTAACGTACCATTATAAGAGGATAACAAAGAATATATAACTTATTTACACATTATGGCAACTAACATTTATAAAAACTGAACATTGTTTTGGATTAATTTTAAAATTGCTAATCTAAACTGTAAACTGAACAATATACAATTATTTTGCTTGAGGAATTTAAAAATATAGTAATTGCGTCAAATTTGAATAGTGTAAATGAAGGTGTGTCAGGGAGTTAATTTTTGAATCATTCGCCACCCTGACGTATGCGAAAACGTATACTGTATTTTTGAGTTACTCGATTCGTTTTCGCATGCGAAATTGACGTCACTTGCGAATACGCATTTAATAGGTTTTGCAATGACATGACGTTTATTCATCTTGGTAAAGCAGTTTCATACTTGGTTTATATTAATAGATCATCGAAATTTGCAGTAATAATCTACAACTCTTCGTTAGATTGATCTGTTTCTCAAAATATTTATCGAAAAGCATTCAAAAATATACTTTCCTTGACGCATGCGATAATGTCATATGCCAATTGACGCATACTACATACATACTACTTTTATTTATTTATTTATTTATTTATTTATTTATTTATTTATTTATTTATTTATTTATTTATTTATACATTGTTCAACAGGTTAAACCCAATTACAGAACAGGAGTACATTTGAAAGAAAACAGTTTAACAAAAAGCATATAGATAATTAATCTAAAATTACAGTAAATAAATTCAAAATTATTTTAAACAATGTGTTTTTTTGTTTTTAACACTGCAATTAAATATATCCAATTGTTCACTAATATTATTATAATTATTACACATGTTATATACAGGTGAAAACTTCAGAACGTTTGTCCGAGGAGTCGCTATGTAAAATGATTCAGTGTTTCGAGAGGTTGCGCGTGGGATTCTAAAATTAAGCATATGTAAAAGAGCTTCACAATTGATTTTAAAATTAACAACTTTGTAGAGGGTAATTATGGAGAAGTACTTTCGTCTTACGTCGAGACTTGTCAATCTGTGTCTACTTTTAGCGAATGGTTTCAAAAATTAACCCCCAGAGTTTGACAAAGGAGAGAATTGACGTGAAAATAATAAAATTATATGCTATAATCTGATCCAAGGAACAGATGAGCAGGTTTACGGAACATGTTCTCGGGTAAGAACCGAACTGTTCTGACTTATTCAGCGATTTTACCTGTTCTTTAACAACTCTAACCAGAATAATATTTTTATTGTACCAGATTTGTCTAAAAAATGTACCAGATTCAATAAAATGTACCGGATTTTACGAGTTCCTATTCTGGCAACACTGTTTTTGATGTTAAATTCGATTTGTCAAAAAATTGTCACTTGTCACCGATTTCGATTTTTCGATGTTTTCGATTTTTCTAGTTTGTTCCTGGTTCCTGTTTCTTATATTTTTTTAAATTTAAAATACGTCTGTTGATAATGTATCGTCGCAATAAACTGAATAAATTTAGATTTCAATTTAATAATAATGAAGAAGGAGAAAGCAGTAATTATACTGAACGTGTACGTGAACGGCCCCCGCTGGGTCTAAAAGGAAAACAAATTGGTTTATGGCATGCCAGAAAAAATAGGAAACGAAAATTAGGCATGGAAAATGGAGATGAAGAAAAAAGACGTATTATACCCATTGCTCAGGTTTTACTTACGACTCAAGAGCAGAAGAAAATAAAGTCTATTCTAACATCTACTTCTATAGAGAATGTATTTGTTACTGATGATCAGTCGTACTCGCATATAGAGGATTCCTATTTTAAGCGATCTTTTTTGTCTAATATAAAGGGTAGCATTATAGAAAAACTAACAAAATCTTGTTCTCAAATCATAATAGATCAGGGCTTGGATGAAAGACTTCTAGATGAATTAGCGAATAAATCATACAATAAACAGTACACATCATTAAAGTCTGTTAGAGAAAAACTTCCCTCTTTCTCAATGAAACATGATATATTAAAATTGATAGAAGATAATCAAGTTGTGTTAATTAGTGGAGAAACAGGTTGTGGCAAGACAACACAAGTTGCCCAATTTATATTAGATGACTATATTGAAAAAGGTAAGTAAAGCAATATTTTTTTATAATTTCAAGTCCCACAATTTACATTTACAGACTGAAGGTAATTATGTAAATATATTACAAGTATTGACACCATAATATTACTATCTTGTAAATTATCGAGTAGACTGGATAATATATTTATGTAACATATAAAGATTTCTAGTTGTTACACAGCTCTGGCAACTCTGTGGTTCTGGTGAGCAGGATCGTGAGTTACCTTTAATAGCATCAATTAGTTTTGTCTAACAATAACCTTCACAATTGGTACCTATTTTTGGATTCAAAGTTTTTTAGGGTTGTTGATTTAGGCGCCACTGGGGACATAAAAAAGGATTACTCTGTTTTCAAACTTAGGTCGCTTTCCCCCAGCAAAGACATTGTGAAGATTTATCCCTACCTGAAATTGATATTGTTTTTAAATACTAATTTATTATTACAATTATATTAAAATGAAATTATTAAACATATATTAACCAGCGCAATACAAGTGTTCACTCACTTAGGCACTTGCTGTTTTATATTCCAGAAATTACTAATATATACAGGGTGGGGAGTTTAACTGGCGCAAATTCGCTACAGCTTCAGGTTGAAAGATGTGGATAAAACGCAAAACCACGTCAATTGAGATTTTTGTAAGCTTTCCGGGCATACCAAAAAAATTTTTTTTCATTCCCTTTAGAGGGTGAAACTCACCCCGACCTAATTTTTTTAAATGGGATGGTACCACTTGCGGCACCTTGTTGGAAAGTTCTTTCCAAAAAAAAATTGATTGTTACGCAAGTGGTACCATCCCATTTAAAAAAATTAGGTCGGGGGGAGTTTTACCCTCTAAAGGGGATTGCTATGACCGGAAAGCTTACAAAAAATCTCAATTGACGTGTTTTATCCGCATCTTTCAACCTGAAGCTGTAGCGAATTTGCGCCAGTTAAAGTCCTCACCCTGTATGGGAATATCTTCTAAAAAGTGTAGAACAGCGTCATCTCTAGAAAGTGGTTTATTGGGCCTAGGAACGATATATATGCCGCCACTGTTCTAAGCATTTAGGATCCTATAAAAAACAGTAGCAACTCTTTATCTAACATTAAAACTATAAAAAAATTCTTTTCTAGTAAGTAAAATTTAATCTATAATTATTGTTTGTAAGTCAGGATCTATGACTGTAAAATTTTACTTTATAGAAACTTGTAATAAAATAAACTACACTCCGTGATACGTGTTGTGACTAGTTTACAATAAATATTATATTTAGACATAAATACATTATTTTACTTAAATTAGAAGCTTTAAAAAGACATTGAATTGATTTCTCCTTATGTTTTCTTTAGTTTTACATCTGATTTGTATCCCGTTTTACAATCTAGAACGAAGTAAATCTTGCTTTGATGGTGTTTGTCACTCATGTTACTTGTACTCAGGTACTTTTTTTCACATTATATTGATTCTTTTCACCGATTTAAAAAAAAGACTTTATTTTACATTGACTTACATAGAAAATTGTCAGCATTACTCTTCGACAGTTAATTTCGCGAACTTTATAAAACGAAGGACGGAAATTTGATATTTGACCATTGCCGATTCACCTCCTCTCTAGTCTTCATATTGGAAATTTTATTGCATTTACTTAATCGACCTTCTTAAATTTCAGCATGTTGACCACTTTTTTCCTTTCTAGGCATAGGTTCAGCTTGCCATGTAGTTTGTACTCAACCTAGAAGAATAAGTGCCATAGCCGTTGCTGAGAGAGTTGCCAAAGAAAGAGGTGAAGCATTAGGCGAAAGTGTTGGTTACCAAATAAGACTAGAACATAAGTTACCGAGAGACAGAGGTTCAATATGTTTCTGTACAACTGGTGTAGTACTGAAAAAAATGGAACAGGATCCTTCACTGTCAAAAATATCACATCTCATTCTGGATGAAATACACGAGAGGGCAGTTCCATCTGATTTTTTGATTACTCTTTTAAAGGACGTTATCAAAAAGAGGAAAGAATTGAAAGTAATTTTGATGAGCGCTACGTTAAATGCTGACGCTTTCTCCGCTTACTTTGACGATTGTCCTCATATCAACATTCCAGGTCTAACATTTCCAGTCACGGAATACTTCTTAGAAGATGTTTTGCAATTGACTAAATTCAAATTTTTACAACCACGAAATCAATACAATCGTTACGCCAAGACAACGAAACAACTGAAAAGTGAAGAAGAATTTAATAATTTTGTTAAACCTTACGTTAGGAATTTAGAGGCCGACGGAACATACGATAAAGACGTTCTAGAGCAATTAAAAAATCCCGAGAGCGAATGGTTGAATATAAAATTAATTTTGACATTGCTAGAAAAAATTTGCCAAAATAACGAAGACGACGGATCAATACTGGTATTCCTACCGGGTTACTTAAAAATCTCAGCTCTACACAAAGACATACAAAATTCGAATTATTTCGGGACCAAGCTGCAAAAATATATAATAATTCCGTTACATTCCCAAATGCCGTCAGTTGATCAGAAACAAATTTTCGAACCAGCCCCGCCTGGTAAAAGAAAGATAATCATTTCGACGAATATCGCGGAAACTTCGATAACGATTGACGATGTTACGTACGTCATTGATTGCGGGAGGATGAAACGAAGCGATTTCGATACGGAAACAAACACACAAACGCTAGATGACTTGTGGGTGAGCCAAGCAAATGCTGATCAACGGAAAGGACGAGCAGGAAGAGTGAAACCGGGTGTTTGTTATCATTTATTTTCCAGATGTAGACAGCTGCTTTTGGAAAAGTTTGAAAGACCAGAAATCACTCGAATACGGCTCGACGGTACCATTCTGCAAGCGAAAATCTTGCAATTAGGCAAAATACAAGATTTCTTTCCCAAGTTAATGAACCCTCCTACGCAAGAAGCTTTGGATTTGTCCGTGGACCTGCTGAAAAGATTAAATGCTCTTGACGACGATGAGTATTTAACACCGCTAGGTTACCACTTGGCTAAATTACCAGTTGCCCCGCAAATAGGGAAGATGCTGTTGTTCGGCGCCATATTTAGCTGTCTTAATCCTATTCTGAACATTGCCGTGTCGCTGGATTTCAAAGACGCGTTTCAAATTCCTTTGGGCAAAGAAAAACTGGCCGATAGCAAAAGAAGGGAATTGGGCATCGGTACGCTTAGCGATCACATCGTTTTAAGTAGAGCGTTGGAAATTTACGAGACGACAAGTAACCCTTCGAGTTTTTGCAGAGAATACTTTTTGAGCTACTACACGCTGAAGTTGCTGGTAAAAATGAAAGGACAGTTTATGCAATATCTGCAAGATTTGCAATACGTTAGCGATGTGTATCCGAAAAACAAAACTAATAATTTTAATTCGGACAATTTGAGTCTGATCAAGGCGATAGTGTGCGCTGGTTTATATCCAAATATTGCCGTTGCAAAGACAAATAAGCACGGTAGAGTTACAAATATATCATCTCCAGATAACAAGCGCTATGAATTTCACTTGAAATCGATATTGAGTGCGGAACATTTTTTTCCGTCTCCGTTATTGGTTTATTATTTAAAAATTAAATCTACCAAAGACAGCATTTATGACGCAACCGTGGTACCTCCTTTGAGTGTGATTTTTTTCGGAGACAAATATCAGTATCTCGAAGATAAAGGCGAAGAATTTATAAACATAAATGAGCATTTAAATTTTAAATCGAATCGCTCAACATCGCTTGTAATAAATGATCTCAGACAAAGGATGAATTGGTTTTTGGAGTACAAAGTTTGCCATCCGGGCGAAATCGATTGGAGTAATTCGAAGGCTGTAGACGGTATAAATATTTTGCGATCCATAATGGCATTGATTACAAATGAAGATACGGGAGTGTATACTGTTTCTGAAGAGGATTCAGACAGTGATTAGGAATAATAATGCCTACCTAAATTATTGTATGAATGTTATTTATCTCTTTATAAGGATTTATTTGCCCAGTATACATATTTATTTTATTTTCTTTAACTAATGTTTCTATTTAAAACTGATGTTTACTGGATGATTAGTATTAAAGAATCTCCTAAGATTTCAAAGAATGTTTTGTTTTATTTTTCATACTAGCTAATAACCGACCGTCGGTGGTGCTTGCATTTGTTAAAAAGAAAACCGTCTTCCGGCGGCATATGGTCTTCTTCTTAAAGGAAAGCCGCCGCAAATCTAAACTGATTTGTTGATCAGGGTGGCATGCTATCAATGAATTGTAAAATGCCGCCGGACGATGGTCTACTACATTGAATGCCGGTGATAAGAAAAAATACTTGTGAAATCGTCTACATTTTTGTGGCAAATTATCATATGTCGTACGCGTTTTGTACATCAGTCTCCTTTTGGCAGAGTAAATGAGCTGTGTCCAGGCCGTTGGTGTTTATGCCGGTCGGCGTAGCCAAGTATGGATTGAAAATTTAAGGTGGCGGCGAAGCCGCCACCCTACGAGAAGTCGTTGCTTCGTGTTCTTGTTGTCACGGCATTATTATTATTTGTTCATGTATGTGAAATTTGCTTCTAAGGTTTATAAAATACTACTGCTAGTCACGGCGTAAATGAAAACAAACAAGACGCATTCACACAAATACCTCCCACCACAGGAATAATAAATGATTACTGTTGTTCCCGATACGCGAGTTTTTTCCGGCGGCATTTAATGTTTCAAATACAATAGACCGGCGGCCTTATCAATACTCTGATAGCCTGCCGCCCTCATCAACGAATCAGTTTAGATTTTCGGCGCCTTTCTTATATGTGAGAAGACCATGTCGCCGGAAGACGGTTTTCGTTTTATTAAATTCCACAACGGTGGAATCGACCCTAAATGACAAATTGTGCATTTTATTCTGCAAATTTGTAAAAAGTACTAGATATGCAAGCAGTAGCTGCATCTGCAGTCGATGTTCTGTGAAGCTGGATGAAAAACTATTCGAACGCAACTCCGATGTTTTTACTTAACTGACATCTATGTCATAAATTTGACAAAAATGGCCGCCCTCTATTTGTAGTTTTGACATCGTGTCATTTTTCACAAAGATTTTCTCACTATTGTTCAGATATACAACGTTGTTTAATATTAATTTGGATTTATTTGGATTCATAAAAAGGTATATAATGGTTTTACTGATTTATATTTTTTGTAGTTTTTATAATATTTCTGATATTTGAATTATTTTACAAGTAATTAGGTAGGTTGATACAGGGATATTTGATATTAGTCATACCAAGGTAAATACGGAATAGTCGTAGTTAGAATAATAAATTATATTTTAATATAATAATATAAGTTAAATATTTTGTATTCCAGTTAAGATGTCTGCTGGTCCTTATAATTACTCTTATATTTTCAAATATATTATCATCGGTGATATGGGTGTAGGAAAGTCGTGTTTGCTGCATCAATTCACAGAAAAAAAATGTAAGTATTTTTTATTATATGAAAATTACTCTTCATTTTAATTCCCTATTCTATTGGCATGGGAAACTAGATTTGTTGAATTGATTTTACTTGTTAAAAGTAAAATTATTTTTTCTTTTTCTAACACAATTTATTATAGAAGTACCAAGTTAAAATGTTTAAAAATAGAGAATATAAATGAATTAATCTGTATGTTTCTCAATAAATATGGTTTATATGATGATATTTACATTATTTGATTAAATGATTAAAATTTTTCACTTCCAAAAAATGTTATCTCCAATATAAATGTATGACCTTATAATCCCTACTCATTTTCTGTATCTTACAACCAGTTATGGCTGACTGTCCTCACACAATAGGAGTAGAATTTGGGACACGCATCATTGAGGTCTCAGGACAAAAAATCAAGCTTCAAATCTGGGACACAGCTGGACAGGAACGTTTCAGGGCTGTAACTCGCTCATATTATCGTGGTGCGGCCGGAGCCCTAATGGTTTATGACATAACTAGGAGATCCACTTATAATCACCTAAGCAGTTGGTTAACAGACACTAGAAATCTGACAAATCCCAGCACAGTCATTTTCCTGATAGGAAATAAATGTGATTTGGAGGGACAGAGGGATGTGACATATGAGGAAGCTAGTAAATTTGCTGAAGAAAATGGTCTGATGTTTGTAGAAGCCAGTGCAAAAACGTAAGTAATAATATAACCTGATCAACATAAAACTATTTTTATCTGTGATATAAAATATTTATAACCCCATTTGTATGCAGTACAATAGGCAGAAGGACTTTGGTCAATAGCCTATTGGACTGAATTTTCAGTTCAATAACCAGAACTTTTAGTAACTTGAATATTAAAATATCTATGCCTAATAGTGAATCTTTCAAAAATTGTATAAATTACTTAGGAGCAAAGTGTTACAATGCTTTACCTCCTGAGATCAAATTAATTAACAAACAACATTTATTTAAGAAAGTGTGCAAATCCTTCATCTACCAAAACTACTCAAAATTGTATAGATTCTTCTTAGAATAACACACATCTCACTGTAATATGTTGGAACCCTGTAGATTACAAGATTATAACATTATTACATATTATATAATATAACATTGCTGCCTTATTACATTTAACATTTATATAAAAATACATTAACTTTATATTTTAGTTTTTTAATCTTTATGTATTAGTTTTTTAGTCTGTCTAGCACATACAGGTGCCCACACCTAGGTGCTAACTTATTTACCTATTATTAATTTATAATTTGTTTATTGTTGTAATTAATCATGTTATTACTGTAATTAATCCTGTCAAAAATAAAAAAAAAAAAAAAAAAAAAAAAAGAATTATTATAAAACTATTTGATTTGATTAAAACAAACTTCTTTGTCCTTGCTATTTTTACACAATACTTACCAAATTTTCGCCTTTCAGCGGTGATAATGTAGAAGAAGCATTTCTGGAAACTGCAAAAAAGATTTACCAAAGCATCCAAGATGGCCGATTGGATCTCAATGCTGCCGAATCGGGAGTGCAACACAAACCATCACAACCAGGTCGTAATCCACTGTCCAATGACCAACAGGCGAACAAAGACAATTGCGCCTGCTAGTTTTATGTCCAATTTTAATATATTTTCAAAAAAAATTAGGAATCTCCTGGATTCTATTTTAATTTAAAACATGGCGTTTTAGGGTGTCACTTACGGTTCACGGGAATTTAGTTCGTTTTTAAGGTGCAAATTGGCACAGTAATTATGGATATTTTAGGAAGTAACATACTTTTTGTTACATATTATCAAATCCTGAAACGTCACTGTCTATACTTTGAAGTCTCTATCCACCTCTGTTTATAGGTACAGTTAACTCCAATGAAATGCAGATAGTGATTTTGTTAGGATTATTTCTCTTGCCATTAAATTTCAATTTTCAACCAACCTTAGATATTTATGTCATTACAATCACAATTTTTATAGTGCTCTATGCACATCATTTACACCAATACCAGGTTAATATTAAATCTTCCTAAATTAAATTTGACCATGATAAATTATTAGCTATTGATTTTAGCTCTTTGATCTAAGGTACAAATCGCATTTTGTTGATGTTAACTACACTGAATTTTTGAACTGAGTCAGATCTTTATTCTGTCGATATTTTTTAGTCATTCCTAAATGGTGATTTAAGTTAATTTATTTTAAATCTGACTTGTTGATTTATTACTAATTTCAGTTTTGAAACGAGCTTAAACAGAACATCGCCTTGATGGCGCTACCGTTTCTCAAAAATATACTTTTTTTCATAAAAACTGGCTGTGTATCACACGGATAGATTCGTTTATTACCACAATCTTGGGGTTTTATATGTTTTGGTGCTAATTCGTCAATTTTATTTTAGTTAAAATGTGTTTTCTTATATTAAATTAAAAGTAATGTTTTTGATAACCAGCGTGAAGCTAAGGCATTTATGTTTTTTATTTTGCAATAAACTCAATTTTCCACTAAACATTGGGTAATTTGTTGAATTATATCAAATTCGGTTCTATAATTTAATTAAAAAAAGTTTACTGTAAAATTGATTGGAACATTGCGAATCGTAAGCGCTCCCTAGTAGGTACTTTAAGTCAAAACAATACACTTATTTTTTGAAGATTTCTAGGTAATTATCTTTTTTTTTTAATAAGCAATTAATAACTTTTTGTCTAGAGCACTCGATTACAGTTTATACAATATTTTTTTATCAAAAATGTTTGTTTTTAAGTTTCAGTACTCGACAGGTGGCGTTTTTTTAATATATTAATTTTCCTGCAGACCAAAAATGGCGGTTATCTAAAAATAACCAATTTTTAAGCATTTTATATGAAAAATATAAAACATCGCTTGTCGAATATTTAAACGCCCTGTAGTGTATAGATTTTTAAACAATAAGGTATATCAAGAAAAAAATTAGGCTGTATCATATCTTGACATTGTTTAAATTTTGTCCCCCCATATTTTTTATTCTTTTAGCTTTAAATATACAATCTTTTAACAATAAAATTACAATCTATATACTCAAAAAGTAATTTACTTATTAATTAATTTTAAAGAGCCCTTACATTAAATTTAAATAATGTCAGGTCTACAGAAAAGTTCGATCAGCTTCATCATATGCGAGGGTTTCAAAAATTATCTCGGTTTTTTAAACCCCTGTATAGTCAGAACGTTGATTTTTTTTTTCACAATAGAGTAAAGTTTGATTAGTAGGCAAATACAAATTAAAATCTTCAATATCTATCAAAACTATTATGATAATTATTGAAGTGGCTGCATTGTTCAATTCTCTTCTCATTCCTTTGAAAATGATCGGATCTTGTTTTTATTTGAAAACTTAACAATAACAACATGTGATTGTTAAAATTTCTCCTTCACATTTGTCTACCAATGAAATTTTTGAAAGCTTTTTCATACCCACTAATGATACTTTCTGGCTTATACATCTATTTGATAAGAGATTGTTACTGCATTGTTTTAGTGATGAATGTTTGTATGTGATGTATTTATTAATATCATATATGAAATTATAATATAGATTTTAATTAAGTGGCATTTTGTATTATTTTCATGTTATAAGGTGTATTAATACATTTATTCTCTTACGTTACAAACAGTATTTTTTTATAAGTCTTTGTTACCCCACTTTCAACTCCTTAATATTCTCATTCTTAACAAAACATAGTAAGTACAAAAATTGAAATTGTACCAGACATTAAATTATTTTTAACAGACTTCAAAAAAGGAGGCGGTTCTCAATTCGTCGTAATATTTTTTTTTATATATGTTCAGCGATAATTCTTTAATACGGTGTCCGATTTCAATGATCCTTTTTTTGTTAGAAAGAGGGTACTTCAGGGGTAGTCCCATATTAATTTGGTCAAAATCTAATAATTGAGTCTATTAGAAAATTCTCTCTCTTCATTTTTTATGTATGTTTAGGGGTAATTCTTTACCACCTTGTCCAATTTCTATGATTATTTTTTTGTTAGTAAGGGACAGAGCTGCTGTAAGTACAAGTAAAATGTACTGAAGACCCAAGTACTTTTAAAAATTGCGAGTAAGTACAATTACATCTATTTGGTATAAAGTACCTAGTAATTAAATCCTAAAAATGAAGTACATAGAAACGTACTTAAGTACTTTATGGAGCAGTTAACTTCTGAAATATACTTCAGTACAATGTAGGATCCTGTAGGATACTTAAATACATTGTATACTTGAGTACATATACAGATGTACTTAAATACATTTAGGTTTAAATAAGTATTTACAAAACACTTAAGTATATAAAAATAATGGAGGATCTATGCTGATGGTAGGCCTAACCCAGCTCAATTTAAATTAAAATATTGCTAACCGGGATTAGTAATAAAGTATTTATTAATAAACAGTTCATAGTTTACGTACAATTTAAAAATAACAGTAATAAGGTAAAATAAATATTCCTTTATTAACAAAATAAAGAACAGAGTACCACAAAAACTTATAGATACATCAGTACTACTACTACTACTATCAAATCTATTTAGATCTTGAGTCTAAATAATTGCCCTATGCTTTAAGAACGACTAGTTTTTTAAAATTGTACTGGTTCGGAAGATGGCAGAATCGTATTGTTAATAAAAACTAACTTTATATACCTATAATCGTTTAGCATGTCTGTCTAAATTAGTTCTACTGTCTTAAGGGTATTTTAGTACTTCTAATTCAGCTAGGGAGTTAGAAGTCATTGTGCTGGTATTTGCTACCAGTAGTTTACTTAATACTCTTGTTTTTCTTCCTCAAAATCAAAAAAAAGGATCGTCTGACTGGATATTTTCATTAGTTATTTTATTTTCCTGGCTGATAAAGTATTCGACATCCAAGACTACCTAGTTTTGTATTTCTTTGTATGTGGCAACATTTAAGTCTTTAAAGGCGTTATACCATCGCATTTTGAATCGTGGGCACATTACAGCAGTTTTGGATTCTGGACTGAGTTTTAAATCTTTGCCCAACAAACTTAATTATGGCCTCTAAAGGCACTGTTAGCTGTTTAATATCGCTTGATATTTTCAGCTTTGAAGTTTAGTTTTCATCGAAACTAAGCTGGGAAGCAGATACCCATAATAGGTGTTATAATCTTCCTGTAAAAAATCTGATGTTTCAGCCAAAGGATATTTCATCTTCCTTAAATACCGGAATCATAAGTTTACCACACAGAACTCCTAACTTATCTTTGACGGACAGTGTCATAAGTGGAGTTCCATCTGGTAACTCCTGGAACTTTTAACTTATGTCCAAGTTCTTCTTGTATTATTTCAGCCGTCCGCATTTATTCCACAACTTCGAACATTTGGAAAATAGTTTTTTTGTCGTAAAGGCAGTAAACCATTTACCGAATTTTTGTAATCGGTAGTTGCAATGAGATTTAAGGTATGTGAGGCACATCTTATGTGTTGCGGCAAATATCTTTCCTGTGTAAAATCCCATATGGGGTAAATATTAAGAACAAAAAAAAAATACATGGAAGTGTTTCGCCACTTTTTTCTTACATCAACAGTTGTGAAGCAAAAAAATATATTATTTAAGGGGTAGTTATATCACCTTAAAATTCGAGTTTTGAAAAATGCCCTGTCATAAAACTTCTACGCTCTATCAATCAACCTGCATGCTGAAATTCAGCTTTTTACGTCAAACGATTTGCCCATGATCGAGATTAATTAGTCAGTTGACTGAGCATTTTACATTACATAGTATAGATTATTAAATTATTTTTCACTCTTATTTTTAAAGAATATTTCAATACTATTCTCGAGTTAGTTACATTTTAATGTTTAAATAGTTTTTATAATAAAAATACTTACCGTAGTCAAATACATACACATAAGCACGACCTGCAAAATAAGCACACGTTTCTTTACGCACAAAATACTAACCCACAAGTTTTTGCGGCTGCTAAATGCAAAATGCGTCCAGAGTCCCGAATTCCGTACGCGCTCGATCGGCAATAAGACAAGAAAATTTCTGTTAAAACTAGAAAAAAGCGTTAAAATTTTCGAAGTACTGAAGTACATTCTGGGTATTTAAGTACATTGACATAGGTACTAAAGAACGTTATAGGTACTTAAGTACTTCTTCTTCACCATTTTAAGTAAAAAGTACTTAACTCCAAATTTTATTGTTTAAATACAAGTACAACGACATTAACTTAAAAATGTAAATACAAGTACAGGCATTTTTGCAGGTACTTAAAATACAGTGCTTAAGTAATTTTTTTAAGCACATAAAGTATTCAGTACTGCAGCTCTGGTAAGGGGGTACCTCATGGGTGGTCCCATATAGATTTGTTTAAGATGTGGTGACTGCATCTGCTCGATTTTGAAGTCGGTTTTTTAAAATTACTTTTAATTTCTAAGAAGGACGGGAGAGGAAAAATTAAATTTCTGAATTGAATTGTTTTCATTTGTTTATTTTCTAATCAAAGCTCAGTACAGTATAAAAATTGAAAATAGGCCTATAGATTGTCCCCCCACATAATGATAAAAAAATAGTCGGACGTGATTTTGAAAGCTGGGTGGTGCATTTTATTAATTTTGTTTTTCTACAAGATGGCTCACCGAAAATAGCCATGAGGGTATAATAATAGTGTAGGTTTTAGATCGGAGGGGTGTTTTTTTCCTGCTAACAAAATTGCCTTCTGATGAAAAATTTTACAGTTTTGAAGCAGCTTCCCGAAGATAATTATAAGGCGTTAAAGATTTTTATGACAAAATTTAGCTGTAGTGTTCAAACCGAACTTGGTGTGGTCTGACATTTTATCGATGTCGGTAGCTACAATAGGACTCATAAACACCTTCACAAAATTCTTGCTCATGCATCATATATTTATAAACAAATTTTAATATTAACGAACCTATTTATTATTTTTGATAGTATAAATATAATGATTATTAAAACACTCAAATCAATTTGTAAGGGTTGTTCAAATAAACGCCCCTCCTCGATCTACAATTGACGGATCCGCTATTACTACCTAAAACTTCCACAGCTACTTTTAGTTTAATGGAATGGTAGACATTAAAAAATATTTACGATTTATTGAAAATTAAAACTAAACCGGCAGTTGCGTTGTATCCAAAGACGGTTTTGGTTTCAAACAAATTACAGCATGTCCCAGTTAATATCACAATCTGTATCGGTAAATAAATAAACTGTTTTGGGAAATACCGGAAAAATTACAGAGTGTCATAAATTGAGGCGTTCTGTAATAAAATTTGGTATAATACAGCAGCTTAAGAGTGTTTAAAAATTGTAAGCAGCCTGTGCAAGTTTATTTTTATATCAAAAAGTCGAAAAAATCTATCAAAAAATTGTAAGATATTGTTTTCTAAAAATCTGAGTTTATATTTCTACAATTTTAATATTTATTTAATAAGAGTCTAGATTTTCCTTTCGTTTATGCCTATTTTGGGAGATTTTTACAAAATTTATAAGATACAAACAAATAAATCAAAAAAATTAATTCAATTAAGGCGGGACAATTCTAGCTACCAAAATTAATTTTTACCACAATTCAATGAATAAATTTCAATTCAATTTGAACACGAACCTTTCAGAATTTGTTTAGTTCTATCAAATGTGTCACTTCACCTATAAACTCACTTTTCACTTTTTTGTCCAGTGAACATTGACCATACCTTGTCTGTCAATGGTCAAAATAAATTTGTCACTTATCAATTTGAAATGTATATATAACCCCATTTTTCAAATTATTGGCTTTATAAAGGCATTTTTATTTGATTTCAAATTGAACCAAAACTTAGTCGAAACATAATATTCAGTAAATAATCTCTCCCTTCGAAATTTTGATTTCACAAAAAATATCACCTTTTTGTTTCTCTAAGCAATACACCCTAGTAAATTTGCTGCCTTTTAGACCGTCAGATAGTGACCGATTTAGGTGCCCCATTTTCGCATACAAGCCTCGAAAATGGTTGAAAAGTACATCGATGTTGAGTAGAATAAAAGAAAATTTACGAGTGGCTCTTGGGGATAACACATGGAAAATTCGATTTTCCTTACAAGAAAAATTTTTCGACCCCAAAATGCACTTATACATTCGAACTAGTGAAGATTACGCCCTTATTTCAACCCTTTAGCCACTTGCAACATTAAAGCCTTTGATTTTCCGAAGCCTAGTTCTATCAATTAATCATATAGTGAAAACGGCTTGCGTGGAAATATGGGCAAAAAATAACCTTTCATTTTTGTTAGGGAAAATCGAATTTTCTGTGTATTATTCCCAAGAGCTACTCGTAAATTTCCTTTCATTCTACTTAAAATCAATGTACTTTTCGACCCTCTTCAAGGCTTGTATGCGAAAATAGGGCACCTAAACCTGTCACTATCTGATCGTCTATTTCTACATTTTTGTTATTTCTCTTATAGCGGAAAACTAGATTTCTTTATCTGGAATAAATGGAATATTTTGTCACTGACAGTCGACAGATAAAAACCACCTGCCAATTATTTGCAAAAATAATCACAGACCAAGGTTTTTGACACTCACATTTATGTATATACGGTCGAATCGAAAAATAATGGGTAGTAATGGAATGCAAGAAATACTCGGAAGAATGGCAACATAATAGTCGTTTTCTTTTTACAACTAATCTGAGCTAACTTACATCGACTAAGCTGAGATGTACGTTCTTTTTATGATTGTAAGTCAGAATCTTTCTTCCCCCCTTACCGATGCTAAGGTGCACGGTACTTGACGTCAACCATAAACCATCACAGAAAGTGAGTGTTCTGTGCATCATATGAACAAACATATCCCATGAATTCATTATTTTAGGACTATGATAACAGGGGGTGAGATTTGTAGTGTTGAATGTTGAAAAAATTATAAAATTTGATTAAAATATGAATTGTTTTTAAACGGATGACATGGATGACACGTCACCTGTCAACCAAAATTCGCGTTCTTTTTACAGTTAAGCTTAGATCAGAATCTAACTTTTAGTTAGTCAAGTATGCTTGTAAAAAGAAAACGACTATTATACAATAATATACAATATACGTATACGCGCCACTGAAAAATTTCCCCTGTCCCGTATCTTTCGAAATCTCAACGAACTTTGGCGCAATGAGAGGTGACAGAATGTCAAAATTTTGACAAACAAAATGTCAAAATTTTGAGAAAAAAATCAAAAAATCGGAATCAAGAGTTTGTAAGGTTTTTCTCTCTTCGACCATAACAGGATAGCTATTCACTAAGTCATGGGAGCGCTCCCATGGGAGTGTTCCCATATATTTTGCTCTCTTACTCTTAGGTGGGTATATCGTGCTTACTCACTTTTAGCACAGGTACATGCATAGTTAGGTCGGAGTAAGCACGATATACGCACCTAAGAGTAAGAGAGCAAAATTATGGGAGCACTCCCATGACTTAGTGAATAGCTATCCTGACAGATCTACAAACATTTGTAGGTTATATTCTTCTTTCTTCAATATTCGAACATTTTTCTTAAAAATTTAACTTAATTTTTCACAAAATACGGCGAATTAGAATGGTGACTGATATGTTCCAGATAGTATATAAATTATTTTGTGTATGTCTTGCCATATAAATTTGTCAGTTGAACGTCAATAGAGTTATCAAGAAAATAATGTGTCAAATACATAAAAATAGTTGATAAATGAAATATTTTCTGATGACTTTGACGCAATGACAATATTCTTCACACATTCCATTACTGTCTATTATCTCTGGATTCAACAAGACATCTTTTTTAAATCAATTCTTGTCAATAAACGATAAATTAACTGAGAGGGAATGGTACGAAGGTGTATTCGTGCTACAAAGAAAATTGGTCAAAATTTCCACAATATATAAAAAAAATAAAGTCGATATTTAGAGAAAAAGTCAAAAATCGAGAAAGAAATTTTACTCTTCCTATATGACTGCAACAGGTACATCTTTAGTATTTGTGGATTAAACTGTTCTTTTCTTCCTTCATTTTTTGACTTTTTTCTCAAAATGTTGATCTACATAAAAAAGACGATATAGAGAAATAAATTATGATACTGCAAAAATGTTACATGGAGCGAAAAAATAATAGGCCAAATAAGTATTCCAGTCAGCTAATACATATTTTAAATGTTCAGAAAATCTAAATATAGCATCAACCACTATTATTTCAAAAAATATAAGTTTTATAACATGATATACATATATTATACCTGTATAAATAAGTTTACTATCCTGTAATTTGTAAAAAAAATAAAATCAATTAAATCAATAAGCTTGTAAATATACATATATAATTATAATAAGAAAATAAAAAGCAGATCTCCGTTTTTAAAAAAAAGTCCAATAGGAATACTTTGGTAAATAGTTGGAAGCAACAGAAGCAAGAAAAAATTAAAATGTACTATAATTTATTTCATATAAACCCATTCATTGCCCACGACACACAATATGTGTTCTAAGTTTTAATCCTTATATGCTCACGACACTTCTCACGTGTTCTGATCCTGTTTACTTTAAACCCAAGTATTTAGTAGGCACTGTAGACTATTGCGGTCATATAGAACACATCCGATTTACATGTTGAATTCATGTTTTTGAATAGAATAGTTACTAAATATCAATTCTAGATTATAATAATTAAAGGTAAGAATTATTGCATATTTATGTGCTACTAAACTTAATTTGACAAGGAAACGCCTGGCGAGTTGGATCCACACAACATATGCAACCGTGCTATATGTGCCCACTTTAAGGAGTATTTGTTTTTTGTTATCTACATAACTTTATTTCGAAAACGGTGCATTTTTGTTTTATAAAATTTGTTCTTATTCAGAAAATATAGAAATAGTATAATAGCTTGGCATGTACTTGCTAAGTATTTAAACAAAGCAATCTAAGGCAGTGATAGGGTTTTAAATTATTATTATTATTATTATTAAATTATTTTAACACAAGAGACAAAGTTAAAAATGCCATATTTTGTTTTTTATTGCTGATATTTATCAGCAAAAGAATACTATAGAGAACCAGTGAAAAAGCTTTTTTGCTCAAATTTTCTGAACCAAATCCGAGATGAAAACGAGTGGCGTGTCGTGAGTACTTATCAAGGTCCCATTAAAAACACCTTTTGGCTCAAGTTTTTAAAATGAATCTGAAATGGACACGCAAGGCGTGTCGTGGACGCATATACTGTTACCGCCAACACGTTTGTCATGTCCTTATCAAATTGACGGTTTTTATATGTATCTTAATAACTTTTAAATAGACAACCTCCTAATTTATATCTTTTAACAGAATTTTGGTAAGGTTCTTCAGCATTGTCACAAATCTACACATGGGCAGTGAATGGGTTAAATGTTAAATGAAGGATTTCTCTATCTGCGAAATTTCCAGTAGTTATTTGAACGGAACAGAATATCTGAAAAACACATGACCATTTTATGACTGTCTTCTGAGAAAGTGACAAATCTAAAGGCAATGTAAAAATGTTTTTTTCTATTATGAAATACTTGAATAAAAACATCACATCATTAATATAATTGACTTACTGAAGTAAAAATTGATTTACATTTTGATTTGAACCCTCTCCGCATGTTCAATTCGCATATTAATTAATAAACTCGAGCTGTTCAAATAAATAAAGAAAAAAAATTTCGAGGTAGGTATAAAATTAACGAAATCCACGATTGGATGATCTCAAATGAGTCAAAATCCAATTTTACCATAAACGCGAATTTTCGAAAACCGACATTTCAATTTTGAATACACCCATCCCAATTTTCCTATAAAAATTTGCTTCGAATGCTCCAAATTAATATAATATACACAAATAAATCACGACAAAATAGCGATAGACCTCCTCGCTGTCGTCCCATTCGTTAAATTATCCAAACTCGACCATTTCTTTAAAATGCCGTTTTTAAGGGCCTCCTGGGTGTACTTGTCGGCCATCGTTCTAGACATGGCCTCCAACTTTTGCGCCCTCTCTATGCTGAGAGGCTCGCTAGGGAACGTCAAGTCGTTGGCCTCAGCTAGAGTGCGCAAGTCGAAGTAGTATTTGGCGTAGACGCTGGAGGGGACGTTGATGTTGAACTGGAGCAACTCGAGGAACTGCCTTTCGAGCTCGTTCATATCTTCGACCGTTATATCTTTTAGGATTTGGCAATAGTCCACGTTCCAGACGGCTTGATCATCCCAAACTTTGGAAGCTAACAAGATTGCACCTGTGGAATGTAGAATTACGCTTTAACAATTTATTTAACTTAAAAAATAGGTTGGCACCATAGTGTCAATGGCATTGTGTTAGAAATTTAAAAAGCTATTTAAGAAAGCACATGTTAAAATTGGATCTACACAGACTTTTCAAAAGCCTTCGATTGAGTAGATCACAATAAGTTGCTTTTAGTTGGCTTCAACTTAGGCTTTTTTTGTGGTGGGAAAGCTCATTGACTGATCGTATTCAAAGGGTAAAAATAGGTTATTACTACTCAGATACAATTAATGTTACATCTGGTGTACCTCAAGGGGGTCATAGCTCACCTCTTCTTTTTAAAATTTTTGTGAATGATATCGTTGGTTTTTTTGTGTACAGCCAATGTGTTAAGTTTGCTGACGTGCTCAAATTTTGGAGAACAGTAGAGAATATTTGTGATCAAGAACTCCTTCAGGAGGATTTGAATCGCTTAGTGGAGTGGTGTAATAAAAACAAATTGTACTTAAACGAAAATAAATGTTGCTATATAAGTTTTTCCCGTAAAGCTGTTAGGATAGCAACAAACTATTTTATTAATGATCACCAACTTGAATACAAATCAACAGTAAAATATCTGGATGTCATTTTTGATGAAAAACTAGCATTTGTTGAACATATAAACTCAGTCTCTATTAAAGGATCAAAAATGTTAGGATTTGTTATAAGAAATTGTAAGTACTTCTCCACTGATGCCACCAGAATGGTCTACTGCTCGTTAGTTAGATCCGTGCTTGAGTATGGCTCAATTGTGTGGTCACCATTTTTTCAAATTCATTCTGATACTTTGGAAAGGGTACAACACAAATTTTTGAGAGTATGTGCAGTTAAAAGTAATGTCAGGATTTCAGATCGTGATTATAGTGCTATAGAAAGTCAATTAAATTTGCCTCCTTTAAGGGAAAGAAGAGACATATTTGGCTTAGTATTTTTATTCAAAATTTTAAATGGAATTATAGACTGTCCTTCTCTTTTGAGCAGGATTAGCCTAAATGTTCCTTATTACCTTGAACTGAGATATCCATTAACATTTAATATACCGTTTCATAGAACGAGTTATGCTGTCAACAGTTCTATTGACAGATATTTGTCTATGTTGAATAATCTTAATTTAGATATTTTTAATATGGGATTAGCCAAATTTAAAACCAATTGTAAAAATGTGATACATGTTCCTTAACTTATATTTAAGGTATATTTAAATTCACCTTAATTAATTACTGTAAAAACTCACTTTTGTACTTTGTTTTAGTAATGTTATAGTAATAGTATTTTTCTACCTGCCTTTTTATATTGTAAATTGTATAAATTTCTTTAATGGGGTTATCCCGTATAATAAAAAATAAATAAATACCACAAGGCACAGTAGTCAGTCCTCTCCTTTTCATTACAAACATTAATTAGGATGCTAAGTTCTACTTCTTAAAGAACTTAGGAAATTGTCAATTATAAACTAGCTGCAGGGTTTGAAATAGTTAAACACTGGCTAAATTAATCTTGAACGCAGTAATAGCATATGATTTTACTCACAATCTGCTATAAATAATTTTATATAAATTTCAAACAATAATAGATATTGGTATTAATTAATTTTACAAAAATACATTAGAAATTGGTGCAATGCAAAATAACAAGTTGGTTGCTAACTGTTATTCAATATAGTTTCCAAATTATTATAAAGAAGAAAACCAAAGTATTTTTGGATAGAGAATGAAAGAGATCTTTACTTCCTATTTACAAATTTGGGGGGTTGTAAGTAACTCGAAGGAGGTTGGAAGTAGGGATAAAATTTTCACGTTGCAGGATGTCATTTCATAATCCAAAATATACATGTTTTGAGATTTTTTCCAGTCCCACACTAACATTTGTACGGGTGGGGAGCAAATTTGTCTAAAAAAAATATAACTGCCCTTATAAAGGATACTTACTTGCGACAAGATTTTGCAAGGCATCTCTATCGCTATGTTTGACATTAATTTAAATCATGTTCTAATCAAATAATAGAGAATCATATGGTGGAATCTTAGACTTATCAGTGGTAATTTGTGAAAAACTGCAAAAAAAATCCAATTTACAATTCTAATTAGAGTGGTGACAACCATGAAAAAAGTAATGCATTACATCCAATTCATTATTTCTATATCGATTCCAATCATCTGATAAGATGATAAGGAACCAAACAGAATTACCTATCTGTAAATTTGTTTAGAACGATATTATATAAGCATAGGATTAGGTAAGCCAAACATAGAAAGTAAATATTGATAGTTCAAAATTATATACGTCACTACAGTTCTGTATTTTGTATCTAGCTCTAATACGAGGAGGGCACTAAACGTGTTTTTTTAGGAAACATTTAGTGTTATTAGCTCTTATTAATTACTAATTTATAGGACGATACACGCTACCAATGGTGTCCAATTCCTTACAGCAGGTACATTTGTTTAAATTAAATGAGAACTCTTTTAAATCAAAATAATTAACAAAATCACAAGTGTGGTGAGTTTCCAAAGTCATCCAGAGGTTTTTCTAAATAAAAATAATTTATTTAAATCAAGTAAAGCGGTTCAATCCGATCCTTCTGTTTACTTCAGTGTGGAATCACAGTAATAAAAAACAACAACAGGAACTGCAAGTAAATCTATTATAAAAACAAATACGTTAATTATATTTTAACTAATAAAAAAATACAGCAAACTTATAAATAAATCAATGTAGTTACCTACTTTAGAGCTTAATCCAATTTTAATTAAAGATCATTGACCCTAACAAAGTATTATTTACAATCCAAATTTTATTTTTATTTAATACAGATTTATAAATGATAGTAGCTATAAATTATTTTATAAATGATATCTATATAGAAATTATTGCCCAAATTCAATAGAACAATTTGATAAATTCAAATAGTAAACAATAAATAATACCTGAAAATCAATGTAAAAGGTATACCTATAAATAAAATTCAAGACAATAACTAATTAAACATAATATAAAATATTTATAAAAAGAATAATTAAAAAAAATATTTGTATATTAATTAATAATGTATAAGATATATAAATCAATTAAAAAGATATATCTATCTGACACACATTTAATATAAAAAGTCAACATAGTGTAAACTACACGAATAATTAAATGTTTATTTTACTGTTTATTTTACATATGAAGTTTATTAATATTAAAATAATGTTACAAAAATAATAATTATTAAAACAAATGGAATAACACAGCCTTAACAAAATAAATCAACTGCATTTCTCAACAGTGTTTGATAATCTGTCCATCCAAATAGTTGACCCACTGATTGAACCTTTGAATATGATTGAACTACCCTTTTCTGTCGACCGCCCGGTTTACAATGTTTAGGGTTAAGGGACCATCCAAAAATAGATTACAATAGGTTTTTCAGAGATTCTGCCTTTAAATTGGGAAATCAGGTAAACAATTTTCACATCATTGAAATGCTGACTCATTTAAATATTCACATCTTAAAAAAACGAAGAATAGAACTTGACTTGTACTTGTCCTATTAATTGTACTTACTTGAGAGAACACTGAGTTGTTTCATAAAATGTTTCACCAAACAAACTATGGTAGGAATGAATCTGACTACTAAGAACTACAAACATTTATCAACATCTCAATATTTTTGACTCAACATTGTCAAATAATTCAATGAAGAGCTTGTAAGGAGAAATCAAAAAGCCAAATTAAGTTTTTCTATTAAAAACCTTCCAATTTATTTAAAAAATTTTGATTTTGCAAATCCCCAATTGTCTTATTTTTTGCACACTCTGTACAACAAAACCGAATTTTTTCAACGTGGCTCGTATTTATTTAACAAGCAAAACAAATTAAACAGAATTACTTTTTTTTTGGTACTTCTCGATGGTTTACAAAAAATTAAAAGTTTCTCCACCATAATTTTAGTTATTGTTCTATGAAAGAAATAAATGTTTGGGAGATTACATCTGCTAAGATGCTATTTATATACCTAGAAATATTCAGGGTGTTTCATATTATTTTTTTAAACATACTTGATAGAGAAAAATTATTACTGAGAATATATTTTTATATCTATGAAAGAATTACATTTTTGGAAATTACACCTGTTAATATGCTATTTATATACCTAGGGAAAAAGCAACAACACCTGTATAATTTTAATAAATGAAAAAAAAATTAAGCATTTTTGAAGCATTTAATAATAATAAAAAACAACTAAACAGAAGAAAAAGTGATTTATATTGGACATTCCCAAAGGCCAATCAACCAAAGTCTTTCAATAGTTATTGGAATATAGATGGAAAAAATCCACCAAAGTATTTCAATAGTTATTGGAATATAGATGGAAAAATATATGGGTACTTACCTAAAACTATTCGTTTCCAATTGGATGGTTGAATATCTAATTCAGCATAAGTTAACAGTCTTTCTAGATACACTAAAGTAATAATGGCACATTCAGCAGTCAACTGAGCAGCATTGAATAAAGTTCTCACAAACTTATAGATCTGTTTATGTTCAGGATTGTATTTATCATATTCTTCAGTAACACCATCTCTGGTAAGTGGATGCATCTTCTCATCAAATATGTCTATATCTCTTTGGGAATCCCTATTTTTTATGTGGTAATAGATGGCTAGAGCTACACATTTTACGGTGTTTTTGAGATTAGGTTGTGATACAGTGCTGTCATCTAGATAGATTGTTGAACAGGAGCTTGATTTTTTTAAAGGCCTCAAGTCAGCTATTTGGTGTTGGCTTTTTCTTCTTATCATCCCATTTTCAATGGCTGTTTTTGACCTCTCTATAAATATGGTTTTTGCCATTGGGTCTTGGGATGGGTCCAGTTCTCCATCATCAGTCTCCCTTTCGCTGATATGCTGAAGATTACTGGTGCTTATTTCACCTAGAAATAAATTATTGGTAGTCATGCAGAAGGTGAGGTTGATGACGTATCCATCAGTACATAATTTGGCCAATCAGTACAGAAAGTATATGTGTTTACATATAAATTTGGAATTATTCATGTAATAAACTGACAGAACAAATATATTATGCATATCCATACAACATAAGTTTATTTTTGTACAAACAAACTGTGTGATTAAATAAATTATGTACTTATCCTTTAGATTTTGATGTTTCTAACCTGAGATTTTGTAATTATCATTCACATTTAAAAAAAAAATACAATTTAACTAATATGCCTACTTAAGTAAATCATGTAAGGCAACAGACTATTATTAATTGTTCAAAAAAATTATAAGTTTGTTAAAGTTAACTGAAACACAAATTACCTCATAGCTTATATTTACAATAACTTTTCTGTGCTTCTGATATTTATTTTGATTCATTTAAGTGTTTTAAAAATAAAATGAAAACAACACTGGACCAGCCCGAGTCTTAAAATTAGCTTAACTTTATTGTAATTGTTTATATTCCATTGTATTTTTATTTTTCATATATTTCTAGCATTACTTTTGTTAAATTAATTTGTTCTGTAATTGAGATATTTCATGTGGAAAAATAAAGTTTATTCAAGTTTTAAAACCCATACCAATCTATAAAAATAGAGAGGTTGAAGGATTATGATCAATTAGCAATAAAAAGTGATTATTAAAGCATTAATAAATGTTTAGAAAAAAAAATATGGATTCACAGAAAATTGTCAATACCTACTTACACAAATATGGTTTCAGTAATTAACATAATACATCAATAGTAAAATTATGTCAACTAATATCTCTTTAAATAAGATTCAAGCAGGACTATCAGTACACTAATAATTACACCTTACTTCAAGAAAAATTAGAAAAAGTTGGGGTTCAAGATGCTGCACTGAATAACGATCTCCCTACAATTCACCCCCATATGAAGCAATCCTTAAAAGCAAAGCTTATGAGGGGACAGCATGCCATTTCCTAAAATAATTTTAATAGGTCCACTTGTATGTGCCAATAACATAATTGTATTCTAGAAAATAACTAATAAAACTGTATGTATAGGTACTTCCTACAACATAATATACCTATTTACAAACATAGGGATGAACTTGGTAGAAATACATTGTTAATAGGTTTTAATACTAGTCTAATATTACAAAACTGATAAAAAAATGCATTACATACAGTAGTCAAGTTTTAGAGACTAGTTAATCTTTATAGTTATTGTTTTAGTCATCAAATAAAATTTTATTGTTTTAATTGCTTAGTCTTAATGTTTTCCTTCCTATTTGCAACTGGCTTGTTTAGTAAATATGCTCTGTGGATTTTACATGTATATTGTGAATTTAAGGGATAAATAAAGATTATTTTCGTAATGCAGACTACTAATTTTACCTTCATGCAAAGTGTCTTCAATTGGAATGATTACTCGCTCTCTGTGACTACTCTGGGGACTAGAATATGAGCAGCAACTATTTTTATTTCCCATTTTACTATGGGTTGTTGTGAGTCTCAACTATTTTTCAGGCACTGTGTTGGATTGATTCCCAATGATTCTCTGCACATTTTCTTTTTCAGCCAGATAGTTGTTTCAATATTGGCGCATAAAATTAACTTAGAATAATTTACGACATTTTATCAAGAGCTATGTCCACAAATGATAACGATTTAATGATAAACCAGATATATAAGAATAAAATCGCACACCCACTTATATGTAGTTTACGCCTTTTTTCCAACTAGCCGGCATGTTATTATTAAAGACAATTATGTTATTGTCCAGTAATCACTACAACAAGCCAATAGCATTGTATTCACCGTTAGAAATACCCCAAAACTATAAAATATTTCATGTTCTCATAAAAAATACAAGCATGAATGTTTTTTTTTTTGAGAATACGAAAAACTGTCAAAAAATTGTAAACGTCAAATGTTTTTAGAATGATTAGTAACGTCAACAGTGCATCCAATCCATTGTTGTCACGTTTAATTTTCTAAAATGTACGTCCATTTCTAAAGCAATAAATCTTGAATAATTCCTAATAAAAACTCAAATATTTTACAATAATAAAATGTGGTTCCATAAATAATCATAAAATGTATCTGTATCTGTAATGTGTGGAGAGTGAGTTACCCCACTTCACTTATGCCTCATTAGGCCCATTGTGCATCCTCCTAAGAAGATCGGCACCTCCTACTCGCCGAACACAAATCTTTTAATAAATGAGAGCGTCGAGCAATCGTAAAGGAATGCTCGATGGTCTCATCTTCTTGTTCGCACCCTCTGCATAGAGTGCGGATTCTGACATCCCCATGATATGGAGATGCTTTCGTACTTGGCAATGACCAGTCAGAATGCCTGTGACTAGGCGCAGATTCTGTCTAGTCATAGTCAAGTATTTGTTTGCTGCAGTGTTGTCAGGATAACTTAAGAGTTTCCTGGCAACTTTGCAGTTTCTTGTTTCATCCCATCTTTCCCGGAATTCTTTGATTAGGTCTGACAAAAGTAAGATGTTTGCAGAATTATTTTAAAACCGGCAACACTGACAACTCAATGGAAACTTCGATTTTTTTTTGTTGGTAATCCTATGCTGCCAACATAAAGCGCATTCGATTTGTTCCAATGGTTACATTTGGTTATGAAATGTCATTTTTTTTGTTAAACAATTCAAACTATAAATTATCCATTAAAGTATAATTATAAAAAAAATGTATAAACACATGGACGATATGATGTGAATTATTGTATAATTTGTACTTAAGTGTGTAATAGTTTCAATGAATTTAGTTGTTTATGAAAGAATGGAAATATCCTTTTTAATATTTTGACAGTTTGACAGGTTGCAAAAATGGACTTTTGGTAATGTAAGGCCCACTTTGGTTAGCAAAACATTTCCCTGTTTATAAAAGGCCCAGTTATGAAATGGCGGATAGCATTGTATTTGACAAGTAGAATTGTGAATTAAAATTGTGTTAAAAGGACCGATAACTCATTCTTAATGTTTCGTTATTTTATAATACGCAATATATCGATTTTATTGAAGTGTAAAATATTTAAAAGCTACTTTAACATGGGGTGAACTATCCATGAATATCTTTAAAAGCTTTGTTGTGTGTTGTGAATTTTTAACAAAACAAAACTAGAAACGGGGTTGATGTGCTGTAGTTATTTACGTAATGGAAATAGACGTTACTCCAGATGGTATTTCAGAATATAATACAGGTAACTCAAGTCAAAGTGAAGAAGAAAATACCGAAAATTCAAGTGCCAATAAAAAAAATGTAAGCAATAACGTGAGTGCAGAAGATCGTGGTAAAACCAGCCCCAATAGCAGGAAAACCAAACATGCACTTCGACAACAAGCAAAACGCAGAAGAAAAAATACTACTATAGCTTCTGGTAACACAACTTCTGTACCCCGAATAATAGTTAAACCTCTACCTCCTCAAGCAGTTGAAGAGCCAACTGTGACCATAGTGCCTACAAGAAGAACACCAACAATGAAAGAAGTGCTTGCTTCAATTCCTGGGTTTACCATGAAGCCTAGAAAAAGGTACATTCCATTTTGTACTTTACATAAGTAGTCGATCCCTGCAAAAATTATAATTTAAGAATTTTTAGAACAAAAATTAATTTTTTAGAGCATTTATTCAAATTTATGAGTTTTATTGATGTACTTAATATGTATAAGTAAGTACATTACAGAAAATGAAGCAGATTCAAATTAAAATTCCAAAATACACTAATATTCATGTAAATCATAATTATAGTTATGCCTCCCTTAGTAAGAAGGATATGTATAACAATTTGGAATGTCACTACAATGACAATTTCATTAAGCATCTTGAAAAGAAAAATATAAGCTTATTTCTCATTTCAAAAGTTTGTTTATCACAAAACGGTAACCTCATTTCATGTCTTGCTAAGGAAAACAAAATGTGGCTAGTAGAAATTATACTTTTGTTTGTTCTCCACCTCTGTCTCCACATTATATTAGAAAAATAGACAGTGTTCAGAACAATTTTCTCGTGCATTTTATTTTTTGCCCTAGGTGTAAGTTTTTTGCACTAATTGCATTTGATTTGTTTAGTGTAGCATCAAATATTTGACATATACTTTTGACAAGCATGACAGTTTGAATACAGTGTCGAGTGTGACACTAGTGTAACAAATAAAATGCCCTAACAAATATACCTATAGCTTTTAAATTGGGTGTTTTTTGTAATTATATGAGTTCATGGAACAATTTTTGAACATCATCTCCTTGAACACTAGGCGAAAACAGAGGCCTTGGTAGATGGTTATCCTAAACTTCCAAAAAAAAAAAAAAAAAATCTTTCAAACTTGTTCAACTGTGCCTTTCTATAAACTAAACCAAACTGTTAACAGCTGCATTCCAAAAATGCTTAAATTAGCTAACTTATATCTTAGACTATTTAAGATTCCCTTTTTATTTTCAAAACTCAATTACTGAATACTGAACTTTCATGTTAATATTTTTACTGTGTATTTCATCTAACCTATTTTATTGTTTTAAATGTCCCTAGTCTCTATGACATATACAATATCTTTATTTGTGTTACAGCACCAAGCAACATACATATTTGGCTCATTAATAAAATAAATATTATACCATATAGTTATAAAATCACATAAGTATTAGCCCAACTATCAATAATAAGCCAGGCTACTTTTAATCACTAAAAGTATCAGTTAGATTATAAATTGTGGTGTCAAATATAATTTTAAGACCATTATTTAGAGGACTTTTTGGTATCACATTGTCAACTTTATAAATAATTTCTGTGTAGTTCTAACACAACACTTTTAAAAATTGTTAAGAAAATAGTTAAAGGTCATATGAGGAATTTTGTAAGTACACACAACCTTCTTTCTCATTTCCAGTTCGGTTTTCAATCTCTAAAAAAACACAAGCAATGTCATTGACTTTTTCTTTGAATGATAAATAATGTGTTGCTGCTGGCTTATTTTGTGATATAACATGATTGTGTAAATCACAAGATATTATTGGAAAAATTAGAAAATATGGTTTTAGAGGAACTGCATTAAATTGGCTCGAGTCATATTTGTCAGGTAGATATCAAACAGTATCATTAAATAAGTAAGTTTCTAAATAGTGTCTTGTTCGGTGTGGGGTTCCTCAAGGATTTGTTTTGGGTCCCCTTCTTTTTTTTATTTATTTAAATGACATGGCAAATTTAAACATCGTGGATAATTCACAATTTTTGCAGATTATACCAATATTTTATGGTATACAACAAATTCAACTGTTTTATCTAAAATGATATTTATTTGGGAGGAAATGTTATTGATAGTGGGCAAGAAAATAAGTTCTTGGGACTCCATATTGAATCTAATTTAAAATTTGATAATCATGTAGATAAGTTTTATATGAAATTCAGGATGCTTAGCTTTAAGTTCTGTAGCAGAACATCTCAGAGTATTTTTCAATAATTGAGTCACATTTAAGATATGATATTTGTTGCTTCTACAAAAAAAGGACTGTATGTTATGTATATAAAGTTTCTGCAGAAACTTCATGTAGGCCTCTATTTTTACAGCATAAAATATTCACTATAATGAATTTGTACATTTTTGAGACATATTTGCTTGTGTTTAAAAAATACAAATGTGATATACATATATTATCGAATCACAATAGGTACCAGATTAATTTATTATATACCAAAGCCAATACCAACCTATAACATATTGAAGTCCTTAGTATACAATGGGAAAACAAAAATCAGTCACCTGCCATTAGAATTAAGACAGACTGAAAATAATAAGGCCGCTTGGAGAGAACTGAAGAGTCTACTAGCTGAGAAAACTATAATCTATAATAATTCATAATACTAATTTATTTAATTTTATATGTTTATATATTAAATTATTACCTTGTCTTTTATTTATTTTATACCTATATATTTTATTTTATACCTACCTTTTATTTTGTTCCTACTGTTTTATTTGTTTTTTACTTTATATTTCTACAGCTTTGTCAACAAGATTCTGTCTGACAATAAACTGTTGTTTTATAAATATTTTCTATCCAGTTCTAGGTTTTTATGATCATCCATCTATTTAATGGAGACATTGTGTATCTAAATGAAATAAATAATGTGAGATACATTTTTTATTTTTCTGTAAATATTTTAGTGATAAATTATTAAGGTGGCCAATCGTCCTCCTATAGAAAGGACATTTATATGTAGGTTCTGTCCTTCCTCAAAAAGTGTCCTGTTTTTCCATATTTTAAAACTAATCTATTAATTTCTGTTTGTTGATACTTTAGCTGCAACACTTATAGTAAAATTCAATATGAAGGATATTTCTTGCTTCGAATTTTCGAATATATTGTTATAAAATAATATATTGACATAAAAATATTAATTCAATGGAAAAATACTCATTTAATTTGGTAATTAAAAGGGATGTAAGCATAAATATTGTATTTTTGTTTGAATTAATAAAGGTTTCATTGTAAAAAAATTGGTCACCTTAAAATTATGACTTAGCTACTTTTCTTGATCCAACTGGAATGAGCACAGGACCTTGGTGTCACTATTAATACATCATTGGCATTTGTCCCTCATAACAAAGATTTAATCTTTTAAGATATGGATTTATCATAAAATGTTTTAATGATGTTAATGACACATCTGCAATCAATTGGTTGTTATTTACCCTTGCTAGAGCTATTACGTATTTATAAAATTGAGCAAATAAAAGATTTTTTTTAGGATTCTACAATTAAATTCACATAAAACATATCATAAATGTTCCGAATTTTTTTAAATAAGTATATTTTATTTATTGTTTTACAGAATTGGTCAATAAACTAATATTTTCTATTTCCGTACTTTAGGAACATATTTTTTAAAGACCTAAAATCATTTAAATGAAATAATAGAAGTTACAAATTAGTTAGTCTGTAAACAAAAGGAAGTAAAACTCTTTTGGCTTATTTTTGTACTGCATTTTGCATTATAGATATGACCTTGGTCTAGATTTTAACTTTTAAAAATGAGACAATATCCCTATGATTTGAAGCTCTTATTCACAATCATTGGTTCTGTTGGGGATCATAACTATTGATACCCTTATTCTTTTCAATTGCCCTATTGTTGCAAAAGTATCCATTTAAATTCTTTTATACCTGTACTTGAATCTGAAAATAATAGGCAGGAAAGGAATGTCAGGAATGTGTAAAGAATGCTGGCAGTTTTTATATGCAATATGTACTGACTGAAAAATTTCCTCTTGTACTGTAACCTCCGACAATCTCGCTGACCTCAATTTATCAGTCATATAAGAAAGCTTAGATCATTTCTACTCCATTCCCAGATCTAAGTAGAGGTTTTTATAGAGGAATAGAGTATTAACGCCTTTGAATGAGTTAAACCTGAGGTATCTTTCCAGTACACCGACTGTCCAGTTTGAGATAATTCTTTGGCAGTACTCTTTGCAATACCAAAGAATGGTTCTATTTTTCATTACCTCATCACACCAATGTGTCCAGGAACCCAGATCGAATTAACTTTGTTGAGTTTACTGAGGTCCTCAAGGGCATTTATACAGTTCCAAACCAGTTTGAATCAATGGGATTGAAGTTCAGAGGTTTTTTAGTAAGAGGAGGACTGACTGATCAACTCTTGTGTTCCAAATTTAATTGCAATTATTACTGCAAAGGAGATCATGACAAAAGTATACATGTTTATTGAACCCTATCTGCCACCTGCCAAAGTTTTCAGCAGTCACACCCAATCACTGAGTTTGAAATCCTTTTCTTGAAGTTTTAAGTATATCATTTATATATTAAATAAGGCTCAAAGAAAACACACAATACCAGCTTATAAAAATTGTTTATTTAAATTTATGAATATTTGGAAGATCGCGTCAAGCCATTAGTGCAATTGTTGGTAAAGCAACATAGATATACAGGTAAAAATTTTGTTTCTGCGCATATTGTCATCTATGATGTATCTCTGACTTTTCTTCAATGGAAATTCGTATTTTATATTTGGCTTTAGTTCGATAATAAATCAATACAATAAACAAATGTAAAAAAAAACTTTTTCAAAGTTATAATCTACTTTTTTAGGACCGGCAAAAAATTATCGCAAGCCGCGCAACTTGAACAAACCAAAGAAGGCTGCATAGATTTGGAAACTGCGGATTCCATATTAGTCAACACGAATTTGCGCCACTTGCTTAACAAGGCTACCTTTGCCGCCCTGCCCACTCTTTATCAAAATAAACTGGTACAGTTACTACCCAACGTCGATAGGAATATCGTGAACAACGATTCGAATAGCATTAGCGTCGAAATTAGCAATTCCGGTTTAAACAACGAGTTTTTTGCCAGAGCTTGTCTGGAATGGCAGGATAGATTGGCAGAGGGCGAGTTCACGCCAGAAAACCAGCAGAAATTAAAGCTGGAAGCCGATAAGGAAAGGAGTAAAGTTGATCCATGGAAATTGAAGCATTTTGAACCGATTTGGGGCGATCGATCTTTCGATTTGTTAACCGGAAATGTACATAGCAATCTGTCCTCAATCCATGGAACTCGTCCACCTATTAAGACCACCATCAAGCTCAGGCCTTCCACTACACAGATGACCAAACACAGTAAGAATGCAGCGTCAGCTCCGGTCAAACGCTTGCGCACTGTTGGCGCTGTGACGCGTTCATGCACAAGCATGAAACTGAGCTCCACAGATAGCCCCATTCCCGACTTGTTACCTATCAAACAGATGAGACAAGTACAAAAGGATGAGGTTCAATTTAAGGCTGAAAGTACCGTTAAAGTAGATGTAGATACACTTAGTGATAACATTAGGGAGCCCCAGGAAAAATGTATTGTTAACATAAGTGATACTATTTTAGAAAACAACCAAGAGACAATCATTATCTGCTCCTCTAAGCCCGACAAGAGGCGGAGATCGCCGAGTACCGATACGGACGGACAATCGCCGAAAAGGAAAACTCCCAGTCCTTTCGTCGAGACTCACATGCACCTTGAAGGTATCGAGCACGAAAAAGACATCCTGGAAGATCATTTGGGTGAAGATATAAGCGATGACGATAAGGTCAGTGAAACCGCGTCTGAGATTGTCGAAGATGACTCTTACTACCATGATAAGGATAAACTAATGGATGAAAACAGCAGCAGTTCAAGTAGCATCGTCGCGCACAATATTGAAGAGATTTCCAGCAATGAAACAATCGAAACGGTAGATTCGTTACAGTTGCACATCGATTACAAGGAGGAAGATCATAATCAGACCGATGAAACTTCTTCTACGACTACAACCACTGAACAGGATCAGGACGATCAGGAGGAGGATGAACAGGAGGATCCGCTTGCGCCAACACCGGATATGCTAGAATTGGCACCAATGGATACAGATCCACTGCAGATTACCGAAAATGACAGCGAGTGTCATATAGGTAAGTAGAATTGATAAAAACTTAACAGACCCTACTAAATGTATTATTTTCAGTTGCAGATCATTTAAAAATAACGCACATCGATGACAAAGAACATTATGGTCTGGTAATGGAACCGATTCACTCAGAGAACATAAGCATCATAGAAAACCAAGCCATTGACATCAACGAAGCTCACGAAGACCAAGTAGATGCTGAATTGCCCAAAGATCAATCACTTGAATCTCTGGAATCCTTAGACAGCTCGGAGCGCGCGGAATCAATAGAACCGTTGGAACACATGGAAACGGTAGAGCATATAGAGCCCATGGAGCACATAGAAACGACAAAAGATGAGCCGCACATTCAAGAAACATTTCAAATCCTACCAAACACGCTGATATTGCACGAAGAGAAACCCGCCTGTTCAGAACCCGACAATATTCCGGATTCGGCTGATTCGTTGACGGATCAGAATGACAGCATAGCCGATCCGGAAAAGTTGGAAGCTAGCGTCGAGGAGTGCGATTTGGTGTTGGCTCAGATTTCCGAGGCGAGCTTCGGCGCTGTCAGAACCGACGACGAGGATCGCTTTATCGATGCCGAGAACTACGTTTTGGAATCGGGACAGTTGACCGCGGAAGAGGTTGAAAAAGCGAACAAGTTGGAGATGGAGCGGACCGGCGTCGATATACAGGCCACTCTATTTGGAGAGACTAGTGTTAGAGGTAATATGAATGTTTTGTTTATTTACATAATCACTGCAATTTTTTTTTCATTACTTTCTATATCATTTCAGGTTGTATGAGAGGTGATCAAAAAATTCAGTGAATAATTTTAGTAGAAACAAAGTAATAAGTTTACATGGAATTCTGTTTATTCCAGTCTCCTTCGAAGTGCTGTCATTGGCTAGCAATGTACTTATCTCAATCCAGAATTTCTGGAAGACTTCGTTGGGAAGGGCATTCAGCTGCCCTGTCGTGGCCCTCTTAATATTATAAATGGGGTGAACACGTTTTCCTTTAAGCACGGTTTTAATTTTTAGAAAGAACCAGAAGTGCTAAATCTGGCGACTAAGGTGGATGTAGATAGACAGGAATATTTTTTAACCGACTTCAAAAAAGGAGGAGGTTCTCAATTCATCGAAATATTTTTTTTTATGTATGTTCAGCGTTGTCCGATTTCTATGATTCTTTTTTGTTAGAAAGGGATAATTACATATACAATTGGTCAGGGTCTGATGATCTATGATAAAATAAAAAAATTTCAATTTTTAAGGGCATTGCACTATTTTGAACTCAGTTTTTTAAAATCACTTTTATTCTGGGTAAAAAAGCGAAGTGTGGCACGGCGCGCTGTCTTGATTAAGAAGGAAGCCAATAGCCCATTTTTCTGGTCTTGTTTCCTCTGGAAGGAACTCTAATCACACTATGCCTTGCCATAAAAAAGCATTTTTGCTACATTTTGCACGTTTTCTTCTGTTTTTGAAGTTAATAGATGTTGCTAATGTCTTATTTCACATTTTAAATCCCTCATAACACTTCTAAATAGTCTTCAGTTACATCATTATCACCATAGATCAACTTCAACATTTCATAAATTTCTTTGGCACTTCTTTGCAACTTGAATCAGAATTTAATTTTCACACATTGTTCGAGATCCATGATACCAGAGAGACCTTCTAGCAGCTCTGGACTGACTGATAAGTCAGAACATGTTCCACTATGTCTGTGTCAAAGATCAGGCTATTGGACAAATTCTTTCACGGTACTTTTTGATCACACCTCGTATACTGGCGATTTCTTGGTGGATGTTTTTTAATGCTTACAAAGCTTCAAGATTATTTTCTAACATTTATTAATGAGTTAGTCCCATAACACTTTAATTAATGTTTTGTAAACATGAAGGAATTTGATTTTAATAAGAATGCAAATTTTCTTTAATAAAATAAAATAATTAAATTATGAAGGTACCTGGGTGAGGTAAGTTACAGAACAGCCATTACTTTATTTTGGGACATTGCATTTACATTTTTTTTCTATTTATTTTGTAATTTTTTATTAATAAAATAACATTCTTTATTAAATATTTATAAATAGATATATTTTCATTTAACTTCATTATCAATATCATTATTATTTATGTATTTACTTAGAAAGAGACCTCCCAAAATTCGCTATAAAGCAAATACCTTTAGCTAAACTTAGGTATCGAATTTCAAAATAATCTTTATTTTTATTAGTGGAACAGTAACAACACTTTATCACACTGTGCATACCATTTGTTGTGATTTGTAAATGGCCAAACTTGAAACTTTAAAACAGTGGACATTGTCGACCTAAAAGATATTCAGAAAGGGCTGAAGATCATGAATAAAAAAGTATGCCTGGTATAAATTAAGTATCCCTCAGATTTATTCCTAAATATCACCATGAATTAGACTATTTTGATATTTTTTTCACGAAAATTCGGGGGTGAATAAAAAGTTGAATGGGGCAAAACTAGTGAATAAAAGATTTCCACAAGGGCAATATTTTTAGTTGAGAGCCATATAAAGGTTTTGAGAGCAATTAAACTCCTTTTTGACTTTTAGTTCCGATTTTACAACTATTTCAAAAACATGCCTTTCGCCGACACTAAAAAATAACGTTAGGTTCAGAAAAACAGGGTTTTAAAAAAATTAAATGTCCGGTCATGTAGGTGGAATCCCTACACCGGAGTAGCAAAAACGGACGACATAATGCTTCACAAAGGCATTTTTATTGACCTCGATGTATGGAAGTATTTATCGTCGGATTAACCTGCAAAAAACTTTCTAGATTAATTAAACATATCTAGAAAATCGAATCATGAAAAATAACTAACAAAAATATATTTGTTTTTGCTTTTTTTGGAACTTTTAAATTTAAACCACCAGTCGACATATTAAACAATCGGCAATGCAGGTACCTGTACCTATTGTTCATCAATGCACAGCTTTGCTCTCAACTTCATAATTTAATTTTACCCTTTTCCCTTCACCCAACTACAAAGAGAAGACCAAAAAGTGTCGTGTCACTTTTTGTAGGCAGCTGAAGGACTATTAGTCATTTTACGAGAAAATTTGGTTTCAAGGATTAAAATGTTGGTGATTCTTTTTGTGGTTTTACCCTGGAAATGTTCATGAAATTAAAATACTTTAGTAGCTAGACAACCTGTACCAAACCTTGTTAAATATTTCGATAGAAATATTTCTTTTTATTGAGAAAATTTATAATAGGGTTTCCAAAATCACTTAAAAAATCATATCTTAAGAACGGATAGACGGAATTTGACGAAACTTGCACCGAAGGTGCGGACCCATGAGACGCTTCTTAAAAAAAATCGGCGTCAAAATATCTTTGACAGTTTCCATGGAAACCGCGAAAAACCTCTAAAAATCGCACGGAAATCGTCCAAACGTCCTATGAGTCCCTTTTCCTGAATTTGGGTGCACTATGGAAGTGAGTTTGCATAAACGGTAGATACTTAAGAGATCTTAGTCGGCTCATCAGAAGCATTTTTTCGTTTAACGTCAACTGTCACTTTTTTATGACGTTTTGAAAATTTCTTTATACTTTTTCGGCGTTATAATGGAAACGAATAATTTTTTGAATATTTTTCCCAAACACCCTTCGCCTCTCTCTACCTCACCACGCACACAAATTTTTCGTCGGGCGCCATTTTTTTTTAACTAATTCGTATGAGGGGTTTCTGGGCGACTTTAAAAAATCGTACCGTCCGAACGGATGGGTGGATTTCGATAAAACTCGGACGGAAGGTGTATACCCACGGGGCGCTTCTTGAAAAAAAATTGGCGTCAAAATTCACTCAGCGGTTTCCATGGTAACCGCCAAAACCCTAAAAATCGTACAAAAGTCGCGCAAACATCCTATGGGTCCCTTTTTCGGGAATTGGGTGCACTGTGGAAGTGAGTTTGCATAAACGGCAGATACTTAAGAGATCTTAGTCGGCTCATCAGAAGCAATTTTTCGTCTAATGTCAACTGTCACTTTTTTATGACGTTTTAAAAATTTCTTTATCCTTTTTCGACGGTTTATTACAAATGAATAATTTTTTTATATATTTTTTTTAAACACCTTTTGCCACTCTTTAACTCACCACGCACACGGATTTTTTGACGGGCGCCATTTTTTTTTTCGGACAAATTTTGTATGAGAGATTTCCGGATGAAACATCCCCGAAGGGGTCGCTGCACAATATTTAATCACTTTTTATATGTTTTCATCATGTCCGCGACCTCTACTAATTCTATCGAAATATTTCCCTTTACCTCTTCTTTTTTTTAGAGAGGAAGTAACAGGTGTTTTACGACTTTTACTTCCTCTAAATGATCAAGTTTGGTCATCTTTCCGAAGCATCGACGACGCCGAAACGCCACCGCGCTCAGTCCGAAGACCTCACTAAATCATTCAATCGGTAGTAGGAATTATCTTTTACAAATAGGAACATTTTAATTCAGTGTTGAGTTAAAAGATAGAATTTGATTTCATTAATAAATATTAGAATTTATTTCTTGGCAAATATAATACCGTTTTTAAAAATATTGTTGGGAGAAAGATTTAATTTGATTTAATTAATAAATATTAGTAGTTGGCTCTTTGAAGATAGAATACCGTTTCTTTAAAGGGAATTGAATTTGATTTAAATAATAAATGATAGGGTTTAGTTTTTTAAAATTGTAATACCGTTGATTTAGACTTTTGATAGTTAGTCTGACCTAAGAAATTAAACTTTTCTTTTTGGTAGGTTAAATCGGGAATTAAATTTTTTACTTCTTTGACTATTTCTAATAATATACTACTTTTTGGAATACAAGACGTAGAAGGTTTTTTTTATGGGTTACCTTCTTGTTTGTTTTACTTCAGAAGTATTATTTGTATATTTATATTGTAACAGTAATTTGTATAATATTTTTTTTGTTAGTTTTTGTAAATTAAAATTTGTTAAAACTTGATATTTGAATAAAACAAATTTCATTTTATTATTAAATAACCTTTAACCTTTTATCAAACACTTGCTACGCCATTGACTTTCAAGTTTCTAAAAACATTTTTAAAATCATTAAAATTTTCTCCATTCAAATCTATCACATCCAATATTGAAATAAGTATGTTTTTTTTTTTTAAATACAAAACAATTAAAACAATTACAATGTGTTACACTATACCTGAATACATTGTGTAAATATATGAGTTAATAAACATTTCCCTTGATAAATTTCTGCATGTTGTTTGTTTTGGAAACACTTAGCATTTTTGTTATGATTTCACTACAGTCCCACATCAGTCCGACGGGCCTTGGTGCTGCGTTAAATGTCTCTCACTGTTTCCTGGGAATTAAATTAATAAACATTTCGTTTTTTGAATGAAATCAATTATGTACCCTGTCATTTAGACTATAACAAAGTAATATCCAAATTGCAGCCACCGAGGAATGTTGCTGGGGTATGGTGGACAGTAGAACCGAGAAGCTGATGCAAGTATCGCCTTTACACACGCTTGAGACGACGGTGTCTTTAGACACGAGCAGTTCCACGGAATCGTCGGTGCCCGAGAAGCAATTGGAAGAACACGTGCAAGTGATTCCGATGCAGGAAGAACTGGAAGTGAAGTTGGAACAGGGAAGGTTCCCTGTCGTCGTCAATGATTGGAGGTATGTAGTTTTGGATGTCTTTGTCAGTTGTCTAAAGTTTCTTTCATTTATTTCTAGATTTATTGAAATTGAGTTCCATTTTTTAGTTAATTATTAATTATTATAATTATCACAGTTTTTTTTTAATATTTTGATTTGATTTTGAAGTTTGATTTTATTTTAAATCTTTGAAAAATTAAAAAATCAATACTTAAAGTTTTATTAATACAAATAGAGCTGCAACTAGTTTCGGCTAACTGCGGTCATCATCAAGCAACTATAACAGGTGAACACTTTTTTAGTAAAATTTATATTTGCAATAATGAAACATTAAATTGAAACCCAATTGGAGCGAGGAAGTATCTTGTCATAAATATGAGAAAATCTTTGAAATAAAAGTTATAAGATTTACTTTGCTTGCATATTTATAAAATATTGTGAAATATACAGGGTGTTATGGGTTTAATGATAACTTTAGAATTTGATGATGAGAAATTTGAAAAGTATTTGAAAAGTGTTCTATGGATGATTTTTAACAATAATTCATGTTTGATTTATTCGATTCTTGTCATTTTTATTACTTGTTATTTTTTAGATTCATTTAAATTTTATTTTAATAATTTTCCAAGTTTTATTTTTCTAGTTTTTCTGATTTTCAACCTTTTTTTGGATGTCAACAATGTGTTCATGTATTATTTCTTTTAAATCTTCTTATTTCTACTATTTATATTTAAATTATTTATTTGCGAATATTTCTTAAATTTTTATGCGATTTCTTTAATTTCTATGTGTGTTTTCTTAATTTCTTCAAGTGAAATAGACTCTTTTTCAATAACTTTAAATATTTTCTAGAAAAGTCGGGAAATTTGCAGTAAAGTGTTAAAGAATTTTAATTAAATAACTTAGAAGTTAGGAAAATGTGCAGATTTAACAAAAAAATGTTATTTTTATGTGGGAATTTCTTTTTATCTTAGAAAATTCCATATTTGTAATACACAATGCTCGATTTTTTTCACAAAAGTTATGGAAACCTTGTAAATTAGGAAATTTTCCAATTAATTTTAATTTTTCATCATTTTTTCATGAATGTTACAAAATGTACAGGTACGATGTCAACATGGACCCCGATATGGTAGAAGCAGCTCTAGGATCATCCAAAGAAGACTATGATGATAAAGAATCGCCAAAGCAGAATTTAAACTATCCAGAATACACCGGGAACCAAGTTAAGTTGGAATTAGAAGTTACTCTCACTCCGGAAATAGTCAGTACCCAATCTAGCAACCCTGTCATCTGTACAAGCAGCAACTCGCCGAGTCCCTCCATAACTCCACCGGTGACAAAAGTAAGTGAATTATAAGAAATATGCATCTTTGAAGTAGTGTATCTGCTAAATTTTGTTTGTTTAACCATCACGAAAGAGTCCTACCTTCTTTATAAATATACAGGCACTTTCCAGGTATCCTTAACGACTGTAATCCCCCCTACCATCATTCCCCCAACCGTTATCCCACCCACCACTATCGTATGTCTGCCCAGCGTCGTAACGACATCCCCAATCATGCATCCCGCAGTCGTTAACGATGTATCGCAATGCGCAGCCATTCCGCGCGTTCAGAGTTCCAGCTCCGTACCGTATTTGGCGTTGAGTACGAGCCAACCAATAAGGGCGGTGTCGACACACACCAAAGTCAAACCAAAGAACTCCCAAAGCGGGAACAACAGAAATCGGTAGGTATAGTTTGTTATTTTTTTAACTATTACGTATATTATACAAATCAGTGTAATATTTGTGGTAGGAGTAGTAACAAACCTCCCCCCGGAGCTGTAAACTTGGAGAGAAGCTACCAAATATGTCAGGCTGTGATTCAAAACAGTCCCAACAGGGATCAATTGAGATGTCAGTTGAAGCCGCCCCCGAGTTTGCTGGCCGCCGCTCAAGCTAACAACATGAAAAAGAACGAAAATAGGTGAGAATTGTTCATTTTTTTTAGAAGGATAAGCGATTCTATTGACATTTTTTCGGTAGACCACCGCAACAACAGCAGCAGCAGCAACAACAGCAGCTACAGCAACAACAACAGCAGCTGCAACAGTTTGCCACTGGGAGAGGCACGATCAACAAAACGTTCACACCTCCTTTGCCAGCTCCAAACAACACGTACCAAATGATCCAGGGCGGGAACGGAATTAGGGGCGTACCGCAACGAATGAGGACCGTACCCTATCAGCAACAAAGACCGCCGGGACCGGCGCCGGTTGTCGTCAGACACGTTTTTACGTCTGGCCAGGGGATTCCCGTCACCATGGCGGTATTACCGCAAACGCCCACCATTAGCCAAGAGGTTAGTGCGATAAATTAATTAATAAGTTTATTTATATGCAGAGTAAGTTTAAAAAGTTATTTTACAATGTTTACAAAAGCTTCATTAAAAAGAAAGGAAATATAAGTTCATATTATATGCACATAGATGCAAGCACGATTTTCTTTTGAATTGCTAAAGAATTTTCTTCGATTTAATTTCATTTGAAATTTCCAATCCACGCGTTCTCATTAAGATTAGGTTAAGTTAAATATTAATAGTGAAATAATAGAATGGATGATATGTTAATAATTTGAATAAATATTTGATCAAATCAACGTTAGCTTCTTCTTCTTCCTCATGCGCTTAATCTATCTTGTTTTCGAAGTTCTCGATCGTATTTTTCTCTCTCGCAGGTAATCGATACCCAAAATCCCGTCGGAACCCTAGGCCAGTACATCCTCGTCCAACGTACCGGCATACACGATCCATTGCACACGCCTCGCTCGTCCAGCGCTCCGCCCTCGCAACAGCAACAGCAGATAAATAATACGGTGAGCGCGGGGGGCGTGCCGCAGATGGTGTCCGTGGGGGCGGGACGAGGGCGGCCTGCCAGCGTAGAGGTGGACCATCCATCTGTGCAGGGACAACCATGCAACGATTTTGTTGTTCAGTGTCCGAATCCTGGGATTCAGGCTGTGACGAGAAGGCAGCGGTTACCTCCTGGTAAGTGAATGAATAATTATTTTTGTTGTGTGTTACTGCGGTTTTATTTTCTCGATTTCAAATTTTTAAATTGCTAAACCGTTCGAATATGGCTTTAGTTTTCTGATATACAACAATGTTGGTAAGGTCAAACTTTCAGCTCTGCTTTATCTGTTTTGGAAGGAATAGTAAATGATGTTTGCAGTTGCAGGAAAGGGAACGACACAGTACCACATGCACATCCTTAATTAGTGATTCATAAATTTAAAATATACCATAGTCAATAATACCTGAAGAAAAAACAATAACTGAGACAATATAAAGTTTTATTGTTGTTAAAAGATTGCACTTTTATCAAAAATACAGAAATTTGTATGACTATGTTTCTACCCTATGATGTAAACTTATCTGTCAACTGACACATTAATATTTGAATAATCCAGTTTTTTACAAATTAAGACATGTTTAACGATGAATCAAATTAAAACAATTGGTCAATGTAAAACAAATAACGAACGAAATGGAAAACTGCCGCCGCAGAACAGGCAAAAAATATTATGACACTACGTTCATTGATATAGAAAGGAACGGACGATACTGCGGCTGCCACAGTTAGGAAGTTCCGTAGAAATTCCACAGAAACTTAAGTCAACATTTTTGTCCATTAATACGATTATTTTTAAAAATTAGGAGAGATTGTAGATATGTAGACGTTGGTATTGTAAAAAGGGTATAGAGATGGCCGTCCACTATACTCTATGGCTCGTATACTTTTTTCTTAACCTGTATTTAAAATCTTTTTAGCGAAATATATTTCATTTTTCATGGTAATTTTAATATAAGTATAGGGTTTTGGCAATAACGGAAAAATAAGTGCAGTAACTTTGACAATATTGAATAGTATACATCACTCTAACTTTGATTTTGCTTACTAAGGAAAACGTCATTCCTGGATCGGTTTCGTTCTTATTAGAACTCATCAGCAAACAATAGATATTCTCAATTCCAGTCTCTAATGGAATTAGAGTACATGCGAATGTTACTTACTATTCACTTTGATACACATAAAGCTGAAAAGGTTCGATCTTGCCTGCATTTTATAGAGATGGCTATCAATTTTGACATCTTATCATCAGGTGTAGTGTACGGCGATGTCAGCGTAGAATCCCCCCTCCAAAACTATACGATAATCGGCGGCGACGGCAACGTAATGGTCGATCATCCAGGCGCCGCGATGCCCAGCCAACTCGTCCTACAAAAACAACCGACGTCTGCGGCGCCCCCTGTGCCGAAACCCGTCACAGCCACAACGGTCGCCGGGGACCAGAACTGCGCGTGCAGCCTTAAGGCGATGGTGATGTGCAAAAAATGCGGGGCCTTTTGTCACGACGATTGCATCGGGCCCAACAAACTGTGTCGTACTTGCTTTATACGATAGGTTAACTACATTTTCCGTCTCATTAACTTATTTCGAACTTGTTTTTTATTTACGTTTTAAGGTTATGTTTAATTTGCGGATATATTACGGGCGGTCGGTGGATCACGGTTTTGGATCAGGAAGCTGGGACGATATTGCATATTTGTATTGGTTGAACTGGTTCTTATATATTTATATATTTTTTATTATCGCAAATTATCGTAATTTGACAAGGATGTTGATAAAATTATAAACAGCCAAAAGTTAAAATGGCGCCATCTGTTAAAAAAAAAGAAAACAAAAAGATACATGTCTTAATTTATTCATTTTTTTTGAGGCAAACTAAATATATGTATAATTTTGCTTATACAGCCTGAATTATGAGTTGATACTTCTTTTTTAGCAGTTATAGGTAATTAATGAACAAAATTTTCAAATAAACTCAGTAAATGATTAGAATGATTAGAAATAAGAAACTTACATTAATTTATTCCAAAATATGTCTAATACGATCCTCTTTGACTTCAATCATTTGTTCAAATTTGTCACCATTCAATCCAACACAATACCCTGTACGTCGTAACCAACGATTTATAGTCCAACTGGTTGGTATACCTAAACAGGTTTTAAAACTGTTAAGAAAAGGAAAGGGTGAATTTTTTTACAGAATAATTTATTTGATACTTAAATGTCGTAATGACGTAAGATTCAATTTGGCGATAAAAACAGACAAACATTTAAAAACTTCCTAATGAAATCTTATCAGAAAATTTCCAAATACAGACAATACTGCTATGAAAAGTGACACAACCACTGGAAATAGTACACACTAGAAGCAGACAGTATCTAGCTAGAAATCAGTGTGTTGCTGCAACCTGCTCTATTCTTATCTTTGCAATTAATACTTCTTGTGGGTAAATAAACTTTTCTTAAATCCCACAATAATTCGGTGGCTAAAAACAGCGTGATTTACAAAAACATAAAACAGATACACAGGATCGGATTTGGATTTTTTAATTATGTATCTTATTTTTTGAAAAAGTTATTTGAAAAAGTTATTTGAGAATGTTTATTTTATAGTTATTATAGATAGTTAAAAAGAAATATCAACTGAGAAATCACAATATTGTGTTTTAGGTATATATGGTCGTTAATGTTTAAAAGGGACACTGTATCGTATATTAACCACGTTTGTTTTAATTTTTTATACCAAAATCTATTTTTTAAAAGAGGAAAAGAAAACTTTTCTGCAATATTACCACTCGACCTATGTTGCTATTGTCACTTTATATGTCACATCATTTGTCTTATGTCACTTTATATGTCATTATCTGTCACTTTATGTGCCACATCACCTGTCACTTCAAGTCGAACAATATAGAAATTATTTTCCCCAATTTTCTCAATGAAAATAAAAAAAAATGTAACTACGAATTTGCCTTACTCCTCAAAATATTAAACACTATTTTATACCTGAAACACTAGATTCGCCTCTAAATTTATACAATAAAATTTTAATTTAATAAATTCTCGCCCACTCCTATCCAAAACTGGAACCCTGTATAAAGCTGTACATATTTAGTTGTTAGTTGATTTCCTAAGACCCACCGACCGCTCTGATTTTCCCCAAATTTTGTACTGTGGTATTTAATATGCAACTACAAGACTTGGTTCATAGTGATTTTTTAATAGTTTATCGGTTAAGATTAAAAGAAGAGGAAGGAGAAAAAAAACGTTTCGTTGTGGGATAAAAATGACAGAAATTTTATATGAGAGCGTGCTGTATCGCTTGTAACGATTTTTCGTATACGTTGGGTGATATTTCTTGGGATTTTGAAAAATTTTCATGTTAGAACGCAGAAATTATACTACGTTCACAGTCTTGCGTGTTTAATATGTTCAATCTTACTGTTGATCTAAAGGAAGATTTCGAAAATCCGGTAGACATTTTTACTGAGATTATTTACTTCCACATCACAACTTATATTTATAATATAGTCAGCAAATGTACCTTTGTCTGGACTGTAAAGTACGACATTATTATTAGAAGCTGGTATACAGAACTTTATAACATAAGTGTGGACATGCATCATGGGCTCCATTTTTTAGATTCTCCTTTTGTTTCCCTATCTTGTTAAATAGGAACCAAACTATATTTTTATCAATTTAGACTGGTCGTAAGCTTTCAGTTTATCTATATCACTATCTCTAAAATATTAAGCAATTTGTACTGATACTAATTTTTCCAGTTATTTAGGTATTTTAGATTGAATTTAAACCCCCTTTGTAGTTGCTTTTATTATCTTTATTGTCTGATTGTCTGTCCCGTATGTATTCTTTACGTTAATGATCGTATAATAATAATATGGACTGTGAACGTGTTATAAAAAAACTGTAATTTCAGCCTGTTGTATTGACTGCAATATTTTTGGAATATGAATTTCAATAGTACTAGAATCGGTACCTTTTTCTATGTAAGTTATTTTTCTGTGAATTTTACCAGTGAGAGTATACAAATTCATATTTTTTTTTACATCGAAAGAAGCAACTGTCATTTTTGACCTACTTTTGTACTAATTAAGCTTTTACTGAAATGAATACTCGATTTACAGGTTTTATTTTTTTATTTATTTATGTATTTCGCGACATATCACTAGCATTTTTTTATGTTTCACTTTATTTTTGTATTATTTCGTTAGTCATTAAAACGGAGTTCTTGCAGATTTTCACGGGACAATTTTGGAAATCACAACTGTTTTGCTTTGAACTTTTTATACACAATTGAATTGATGACTATGGAGGTACGAACTACGAACTGAAAAGCGTTGAAGCTATAGGTACTATACAGGATGTTTGAATAAAAACTGTTTGCTGTTGAATCTTGGAATATCATGAAAGATAATTGAAAAAAAAAAAAAACTTAAAAGGTCGGTTTTTATTTCAAGAGGGACATCTTTCTTTTGTTTTGTCAATCGTCACTCTAACCAATACAATTTAAATAGTAAAAATACATCATTGAAAAGGTAATGTTCATAGGCTGCAAATGTCAATCGTGAAAAAATCAATATTTTCCCTGCAATTGCTCATTAGCAGCCAATCAGAAGAATATTCGATTCTTTTTATATAATCGTAATATTAATTAGTAATATTGTCCAAGCCGGCCCTGTGCGGAAGTTAGTAATTGTTCCAAAAAATTTATCGGTTATATATCTAAAAATGTTTCTAAAATTAATGTTATTGCAAAAAAAGGACGACATTTTAATGTTTCAGCTGTTGAAATAAATTTTTGCATTTCGCGACATCTTTTTATGAATTTATGTTAGCCATTGTTAGTTTCCACAATATTAACATGAAATAATTAAGATTAAAAGACAATTTAGTATTAACTTTCCTATATAAATTGAAATGAATTATATTTTAAAATATCCACAAGAAGTATCCTAGGGTTTCTTTGGGCGGGAAATAATCTAAATTAATTAAATTAGTTCTTGTCATTTTCCACCTCATTAAACCATTTTACATAAATCTTCTTGTTGATATTTTAAAAAATGTTATCTTTTAGACACTCAAGGAATTTACTTTTGATTTGTGTTTATTACACATTGATTTCTCTGTTTAATGTAATTTGTAATTTTAGTTTGGGATTAAATAGTTTTTATATTTTTCCAATTTAAATTTTGAAGTAGAATTCAGTTTTTTTTAACATCTTTTTGAAATGTTTATCGTGAACTCCTGCAAGAACTCCATAATTTATTATATACATTTTTTTCTCGCTAGAAGTCTTCCAAGCATTTTTCACGATTTAGAATTCGATGGAACAAAAACAAACGCGTTCGGCTTATCGGTTTTCGGTTTTTCTCTACAAATGTACTACCTCAGATGTTCGTTGTATACTATTTTCATTTTTGCTAAAAGTTTTTACAAACGTTTTTCTAGTGCAATAATGTCGATGTTCTTTTATGGTATCAGAAGAACACGAATTTTACTTAAAAAAAGAAAAATATTATTTATCTTTATTGTATTTTTTCGGTATTTTATTTTTGTGAAACAGATTTTTTTGGGATTTTAAGGTTTGCCGAAAATTTTACTTATTGTGAAAAACATTGACGTACATTCTGGGAATGGTATTTTTCAAAGTACAATAATTATAGTGAACCAAATATGAACAATGATATCTTTAAATCAAATTAAAACAGGCTTTGTACATTTGCTTAACATATTTTATTACCTTACATAAAAATTTGAAGTTAGTGTGATTTAAAGTCAACATTATCGTTATATTATGAATAGAACAGATATTATAATTTTTTTACGACTACCTTGTGTCATTTTGTTTAAAATAAAATATAATGAGGTGAGTTCGGTTACTGACTTACCAAGGTGCTTTCTTATTTAAGTATGAAAAAAAGGTTCATAGGGTAGGTAGATTTTTCCAACGGAGTTTAATCGTTTAATACAAACGGTTTGCTTGATACGCTTGACATAGTGCTGAATGAAAGAACACATCTACTATTTTAATGACATATCATTGTTTTCGTCCATAGCTGTCATAGTTTTGGATATATATAAGAGTGAATACGAAATATTTCATTTTGTATGTGTTGCTTGGCAACTTAGCTAAACAACACCTGCTTTATGAAAATTTATATAAAATAACTGATAAAACAAGAAATTTCATGAAAATAGGCGATCTTAACGATTTTATGTTGCCAGTTCTCTCAAATACACCAATGATATTGTTTTAAAATCAACTGATGACATCAATTTCGTAACGTGAGATACGGTATTGTTGAAAAAAGTAATTATATATGCACCAACAACTTTTAAATGTGACAAACGAAAAACTGTTTATTTATACCTTTAATCTAAACTTCAAATCACAAAAGGACATTTTATAGTTCACATTTGTTTCACACAAACTGTAAATATTCCACACTATAAACACAATGTGTTGCATTCTGAATTGGATATACATAACCGTCTATAGGGTCACGGAATTGTTTCTAAATTTATTCCATATT